GGATATCTCTTTTATAGTCTCCTAGCTAGTTAGGTATAACTAGAATCCTAGCCCTAGGTACTAAAAAGTAGTAGATTAAGCTATCCTTTATCTCTATTTAACGAGATTATATAGTCTATGCCTAGGAGGGTAAGAAAGGAAACTAGCTACCGATATCTTCCTTTATTCTAGCGATTTATCCTTTATAGATAATTCCTTAAATAGAAAGAGCTTATAGGGGTATATTATATCCCTTTTTAAAGGAACTATTACTTAGAGAGCTTCGAAGTAAGCTACTATTATAACTTCTAGTATAGAGGCAGAGCTACTAGCTTATTTAAAAGCTTTAAAGGAAGCTATTTTCCTTAGCTAGATATTAATATCTCTATAACTATAAATTCCCTCCCTATTAGCTATAGAATATAATAATATTATAGACTATATAAATTCTAATAGAAAACGTAAAGCTATTAACCTAGCTATAGTATATTAATATCTACTAGTATTAGTTACGCTAAGAGGTCTAAAAGGGACTTATTTCCGTCCGTTAGGTTTTAATAGTAGTAATAAAAGCTAACGGTCTTATAAAGCCCTTACTAAAGTAAAAGCTAGCTATCTTCTTATAGTAAATTAGGCTAAAAGACGTTTAAGAGAAGCTATCCTTAAAAGCCCGCCTTAAGAGTTTATAAGAGGAGCTAAAGGTATATAAGAGGAAGGAGACGTCTATAGCTAAAGAAAGGAACTAGGACTTATCCTAAAGGAGGGCCCCTAGCTTAATTGGGACTTCTTCTTCTTAAAAAAGAAAGACCCCCTTTCTTATAGGACTTAATTTCCTCCTTAGGCCCCTTTTCCTAAAGTAGGTCTAAAAGAGCCTAGGGCTAAAACCCGGATTTCTTAAGTAAGGGATAAGTATAGACTAAGACCTCCTTTATACGCTTACCGGCCTAATTATTTAGCTTTACCCTTATAGGGCAAGCTATAGCTAAGGGGGTATATCGTAAAGCGTAGCTTAATTTCGTAGTTCTTAGAGATATCTCTTAGTACGAGGGACCTAAGAAGCTAAAAAATAGGTTTTAAGGAAGGAGCTAAAAGGAGGTATAAAGAGAAGGGTAGTAAAAAGAAGGGAAGTAAAAGTAGCGATAGCTTCCTATAAAGGTAGCGAGAGATAAGATAGATATACTAGCAACGGCTAAAAAGGAGGGGAAAAACTAGTAAAAAGCTTAGTAGTTAAGAGGATATTAGTAGCTTCTTTAAGTAGGATCTTCTTTATTAATTAAAATACTAGATAGATATAAAGAGGGGCGTTAAATAAAGGAAAGAAGGATAATTAAGGTAATATAATAATTACTCCCTTATTATAATTACTACCCCTATAAGAATTAAATATCTCCGCCTTACTTATTTAACCCCTTACTTTTAATTTTACCTTTATATATTTTTATATACTTCTTATATCTCTCTTTTTAAGAAAAGTAAGAGTAAGAGTTACTAAGCTATAAGAGCTATAAAAGAGGCTTAAAGAATACTAAGGAAAGGCTATTAAATCGTAAGTAAAATACTATAATTTAAAGCACTAACCGCTTATATTAAAAGTAAGAGACCTTATAGTATTATTAATAAGGAACTTATACCTTAAGGGCAAAAAAAAGAAAACTCTTACCTAAGTATATTAGACCGTTTTAGGTCTTAAAAGCTATTAAAAAGTAAGTATATCGTCTTATACTCCTTAAGAAGTACTTATATCTTTATAACGTTTTCTATATTAGTCTTTTAAAGTTATAAAAAAAGCGTAAAGGAACCTATAAAGATAGCGAAACCCTATTAATACTAGACTTAAAGGATAATAAAGGTAAATAGGAAGTCTAAGAGATTAAAGATTAAAAAAGATCTAAGGGCAATACTTTTTTCCTTATTAAATAGAAAGGATAGCTAGCTAAGTATAGCTAATAGGTTAATACTAAAGATATAGTAAATAGCTAAGACCTTATTAAAGAATATACTACTTACTTAACTAAGAAAAAGAGGTATAAGACTAAGTAAGGTAAGGAAACCTATTAATATAAGAAGGCGCTACTAAATTAGTAATAAATCCCTACTAAATCGCTATTAATTTATTAATATATTAGTACGCTTAAACGTTTTATAACTATATATAAAATAGTAAAATAAGATAATAAAGGAAAACTATCTATACTACCTATTAAATATTATTAAAGAAAGTAAAAGTAAACTATAACTTTATTAAAACCTTAATAATAAAAGAGAAAAGGATAGTTATAACTAAATAAAAGAAAGATAAGACCTATTTATTACTTTTAACTACCCCTCCTTTTTACTAGTATAGTAGGAACTAACTAAGGCGCCCCCTTTACTATACTAAATACTTCTAGAAATACTAAAACTACCTTATCCTTTACTCCTTTTTTATTCTTTATATTAAGACCTATCTTTATTAGTATAGTACTTACCTTAGCCTTAGTAAATAGTAAGGTATACTACTAAGAAGTATAGCCTATATCGCTATTAATAAAGTAGAGTTTTAACTAAGATTCCTAGGCTTAGTACTTTAGGCTTATATAAGTAATATTAAATAAGAGCGCGGGGTTAAGGCGAATAATAAGCTCGCGGCGCTTATTAATTAGTATATAATAGTTAGTACGCTTAACTTAGTATATTATTAAGCGGTCGTAAATAAAAGGGTTAAATAAAAACTTATAACTATAGACTTTTATATACTTATAGTCTTAAAGGACTTATAATAAGCCTTCTTAGCGATATTAAAAGCCTTAGCTAAATACTATACTATAATAGTAAGATAGCGCTAATTACCCTCCTTAAAAATAAGTATGCTTATATCTAAGCTATTATCCTTAGTATCCTTATTACTAGTCTTTAGCTTATTAAGCTTATATAAGTACTTTATAATAGCGACTATATCGGCTTAGTTACTAAATATAAAAGTAGCGGCCTTAAGAAAGATTAGCTTATAGATTATAATATTTAAAGTTAAGGAGAAACTTACTTAGTTATAAGTTATAGTATATCTATAGTACTACTTATAGTATATTAAGGAAACCCCTAAGAAAATATAGCTAATTAAGAGTACCTTAATAAGCTTAAGCTTAATTATACTATACTCCTTAACGACTATCCTAAAATAATATATATACTAGAGCTTATAAAGGATAACCCCTTAGGCCTTAACTAAGCGGGCTTTAGCCTTAGATTAAGTACGCTTCTTTATAAGAGCGCGACCGCCTTATACTACTACTTAGGTACCTTTATCTTTAGCACTACTATTCTTAGGTTCGTTAATAAAAGGAGTTAAATCGCGGCTATCTCTATTATTACTATTATTATTATTTTACCCCTTATTTAGCTAAATATTAAGATTATTTTAGCTTATATTTAGCTAGGCCTTATTATTAATATTAGCCTACTTATTTTAAAGAGCGGCCTAGGCGATAATTTCTTATTAGCTAGAGCCGCCCTATTAAAATAAAGTAACTAGGTTATTAGTACTTACCTAAGAGCGCCTAAGTATAGTCTCCTTTTAATATTAGTATCGCTAATAAGGGTAATAGACTTATAAGTTTCTTAGCCTATAAAAGTAAGATTATTAGTTATTAGAGTTAAGGTATTTAATAGGGTAATAAGGGTATAACCCTCGCTAATATTAGGTCCTAGACTAAGAGTCTCTTAGGACTAGGATTCCCTTATACCTTTCTTAGCTTTCTTTACTAAAGGGGAACTAGTATTACTATAAGACTTTTAGGCTAATCGCTTATAGTTTAAGGGTAAACCCGCCGCTACCTACTCTTATATATAGCGTAGGAAATTAGCGTTATAGTTCTTTATCTTCTTTAGCGTAAAAGGTATTATTATTAATAAATCGTCGATAAAAAGTAATATAAAAAAGTATAAGGGATTAATAAAAAAATAGTATAAAACTCTATAGTAATTATAAGTAAAAGAGTTAAAGAAAAAAAAAGAAGTAGGAAATATATATATACGCTCTTTATATTATAGTTACGCGGCTAATATATAGGCGAAACTATAATAGTTACTTAGTAGTAACCGCTAGTATAATAACTATTAATATTATAGAGTATAGACTAATATATACTTATATAAGTATATACGCGCGATATATAACTAAAACTACCTTTCTTCCTAACTAAATATATGTAATATAGCGAAAGTAATATATATTAAAGATATAGCTAAGACGTCTATATAAGAAGGGAGATAATTATAAGAGCGCTATTAAGAGGTATAAGCTAATAAAGTACTTAGGTATATAGTACTAATATATTAGTAGGGTATTAGTAGGGAATTATACCTACCCCGCTTATAAGTTATAAACTACTTACTACTTTAACTAAAAAGAAAAAAATCCCTCTTCTTATAAGCTTTAGTCTTATAATAAGAAGAATATAATATATATAGCGTAGTACTTCTAGCTATCTTTACTACTTAACTAATCGTACCGTAATATATATTCCCTTATATTAAGCTATAGCCTAAGCTATATAGTTATATATAAATAGCTAGATCTTATATATATATATATAGGCTACCTATATATAGATTCGCTCTATATAGCTTATTAATATTATTCTATAAATAGTACTTATATATATACCTTTACTTACTTTATAATATTAAAACTATTATTATATTTAAAAGTAGTAGATATAGTAGTTAACTATTATATACTAACGAAGTTACTTAATAGATCTAGGTTATTATAAGCTACTAGATTAATAGGTTAACCTATTTCCCCTTATACTTTTAATATATATATATATATATAGTTATACCCGCGGACTCCCTCTTTTAAGTAAGGTAGTGCAATCTATACTCTCTTTCTTAATGCAAAGACCTAATAACTAGTAATATAGGGACATTTCTGCCGGCATTTAGATACACTATTTTTTTAAGATTTCTTTTTAGTCTGGGCCGCCGGCAACTACTACCTACCCACCAACATTAAAGTAACATAGCTGAGGCGGCGGCCATTATGCCATAACCTTAATGACCACCTTGCCGTTGGCATGCCTCGTCTCCGTCTTGTCAAAGGCCTGTTGGAAGTCGTCAAACTCAACGGCGCTATCGACGCGCGGCCTGCCGATGCCGGCGTCGACCAGCTTCGTGATCTCCGCGAGGTCGGAGCCGCGCGGCCGGACGAGGAACCAGGTGGCCTTGGCGAGCTTCTTGGACTTCGCCACCGATGCGGGCCTAAGGCTCTCGGGCGAGCCGCAGACGCTGAGCAGCACGCCGCCGTCCCGGATGGCCGCCCAGCACCCGGCGAGCGAGTCGCCGCCGGCGCAGTCGAGGGCCATGTCGCAGTGCGTCGAGGACGGGTCCTGGGCGGCAGCCCAGCTGGCAATCGACTGCTTGGTGTAATCAATTATGTCTGTTGCACCGGCCTTGCGCACGTCGTCGGCCTTGGACGGACCGGACACGGCGACAATGGCGCCCGCGCCGGCCGCCGCCGCGAGCTGCACAGCCCAGCTGCCGACGTTTCCACTCGCCGCCGTGATGAGCAACCTTATCTTGCCGTTGGCCTCGCGGGCCCGGGCGTCGCCGCCCTGCGTGGCCATGGCCCGCGGGTCCAGCAGGCCGTGCTCGAAGAGGCCCTGGTAGGCCGTCAGGGCGCTCAGCGGCGTGGCCGCGGCCTCGACCCAGCCCTGCGCGCTGGGCTTCAGGGCGAGGGCGCTCTTTTGGACGAGCGTGTAGTCGCTGAGGCAGCCGCGGCGGTTTGCTTCGTTGCGGAAGTAGACTTCGTCGCCGGGCTTGAAGGGGGACCCGAAGGGCGCCGTGACAACGACACCGGCGCCCTCGGTCCCGGGCACGCGCTCCCGCTCGGCCGTGAAGGTGTCGGGAAAGTAGCGCTCCCAGGTGAGCTCGCCCAGGCAGGGCGACGTGGCCTTGATCTGCACGAGGTGCTCCTCGCTGTCGCCCTCCTTGGGCCTGGGGAGCGCCGTCTCGGTGAGGATGAGGGCGTCGGTCTCGGGGTCCGGCTGGATGACGGCCCTGACTGTTTGGGGCAGAGCGGTGCTCATGGTTGCTTTGGTACTGATGGCTTTTCTGAGGATCTTGATGCTGGTAATAGGGGTCCCGCGTTCCTCGGGTGGTGAAGGTGGTCGATATGCTCTTCTGCGTTGTCATCGTCGTTCCATCCGTTCGGCTAACCCCGCCCTACTTATATCAGTATGCTCCTAGGCAGAGCTAGCTCCAGCTCGGGCTATTCGAGGCTACCGTCGCCGGGTCCCCGCCGGATCCTATTGGTGAGTATGGTGAGGGGGGCCATTCTCCGTGAGCGTACATGGTCCTGGACATCGGTGCAGATCCTCCTCACTAACTGGATGCTGTGTCATGCAGCTTCACAAAACCAATATTCTGGGTGACATGCTAACAAGCAAGCGAAATACTCGAGAAGTCGCGTAGGTAGGACCTGATCAGGACTACATAACAGCGCAAAAGAGAAAAAGGCTTAACGGCAGCCCGAAGGAGTATTATTACTTGCACTCATACCCATCTCTATCTGCACTTACACCCCATTTCTAAGCTGGGCGGTATGACTTTGGATACGGCCCGAGCCCTAGCAAGAACAGGTAGGTTCAAGATGGCGTCGGCGGGAAAGCACGAGTGACGCCTCTATCTACGGAGCTGTCATCTCGCGCCGTATAGGCATACGACACTATTTAGATTCGCCATACGAGGATCTGTAAATAGCCAAGTGTCGCGGCCCTCTAGGGTTGATCCCTCCCGGGCGGAATAAATTGCATTGCATTGGCCCCCAAGCAGGACGGCCGGCAGACTACATGCGGGCGCTGACGGCGAGGCCAAGCTTGACCTTTCTTCTCATCTAGCACTCGCATCTCTCCGCAGAGAAAAGGGGGCCGAAACAGATCAATTCCCAGACCCCGTCTGCCACCTATTGTACCTTCTCAGCCAGGCACGGCAAAAGGGGGGCCGAGTTGGCAATTGCGACAGGTCAGAGGAGGGCGCGACTGAAAAAGGCGTGTTGCGGAAACAGACCGACGCACACACACACACACACACACACACACACCCTCACGGGGAGGGAGAGAGAAGGAGCCAGCGCGACATGGGCGATCAAAAAGCTCACGGCCGGACCACCGTTGGAAATGCCGTCCCCGGACAACGCCAGGGCCGCGCGTGGCAGGACGAGCATGAGCGCAAGGACTGCGAGGCCATGACTGTCTGGGACAGAGACGAGCATGAGCGCAAGGAGCGCGAGGCCGTAGCTGCCTGCGACAGAGACGAGCATGAGCGCAAGGAGCGCGAGACCATGGCTGCCTGGGACAGAGACGAGCTTTGGCCCGCCATGTACGGCCGTCCCCGTCGCCTCCGACTCTAAGTTGCTGACCCTCGAGCCAGAAACAAGCCGCTCTTTAGTGGCTCCGACGCCAAGCGGTTTGATGGCCGTCTCGATAAGCTCGAGGTCCTCGCCATCGGCGCCTTTAGTAGGGTCGATATGGTCCAGTATGGCGCCGTCCATCTTGCCCGTAAGCGCATCGTCCGTAGGCGCGGCCTGACCATCGAGGACCTACGCCAAGAGGGCCTTACTATGTCTAAGCTCGACCATCACCACGTCGTCAAGCTCGTCGCCACCTACGCGCCTCGCGCCCACGAGCTCTGCCTCCTGATCTGGCCCGCCGCCGTCTGTAACCTAAGCGTCCTACTTGACGATATCGAGGACCTAAGACTTGGTGAGACTAAGGGCGACCGCAACGATATTGCCGATAGGCTCCACGCCCTTTGTCTCCTTAGTTCCGACGACGAGGAGGCGAACCCCGACACCAGCAGCCGCCCCTTTGACTTTCTTTGCACCCTCTTCGGCTGTGTTGCCCGCGCTCTAGCCTACTGCCATGCTAACGGCGTATGCCATCTTGATATCAATCCCTCTAATATCCTCCTTAACCCCTGCCGCGTTTACCTAGCCGACTTTGGCAATTCGAGGGATATAAGCGGCCAGCAGAACTGGACTACGACCAACGGCGTTCTTGGTAACGAAAAGTGGCGCGCCCCTGAGCTATACGCCGACTACGGCTCTAGTATATATCTTTCCGATATATACTCGCTTGGCCTTGTCTACCTTAATATCGCCACCGTGCTTTATAACGCCCGCCTTGCCGACTTTGAGGACGCACTACGCTACCTGCCCCGTCTCTCACTTGATGACCGCCTCCGCGCCCGCCAGGATAAGATTAAGAGACACCTAGAAAAGCTTACCGCCTATGCCCTTGGCACCCCGCGCTTTATTCTTACCTATGAGGGGCAAGAGACGGTGCGGCCCCGGCCTATCGTTAGCCTTATCTCTAATATGACGGCTCCTAACCCGCGCAATAGGCTGCCAGCCGAAAGGGTAGACGAGAAGCTATCTAAGCTTGGCGGCATCTACCAGATCTATCACGCCGAATGCTGTAAACGACCTATATCTTGGGTCGAGGATAGGTGGGACAAAAAGTTTATAGCCATGGCCAGCCTAGAGGTTAAGCACGAGCAGCAGCGCAAAAGGATTGTTGAGCTCGAGGGCAGGGACGAGATGTACGAGGCCCGTCTTGAGAACGCCCGCAGGGCGCATGACAACCACGTCACGAGGCTACAGGCGCTGCTAAGGGAGGCCGAGTACCAGCACCAGAGGCTAGAACTAGACAAAAAGGCGCCCCGGAAAGTGCCCCGGCCCGTTATGTCAGGCGTGAAGGGCCCTAGCGGAGCCACCCCCGCTGGCTTAGGACTGGCTAAATCGGGGCCAACGCCGGTGGTAATGGGACCGCCGACGGAGCCAGCCAGACGGGTCTGGTCCCGCGGCTTAGGGTCGCGGCTGCCCTTGCCCGTAACGCCCAACCGGAGCGGGACGCCTGCCGTCGCCTATGGCTTAAGCATAACGGACAGCAGTGTGCCGCCGTCAGTCTTTTCGGGCCACAGCATCGAGAAGAACGTCGACCTAGAACTCGAGGACGAAGACGTTTGGACGCCGATATCATCGTTAGCCTCAGAACAAGGGCACGAGCAGATTGTCGGGCTGCTGCTCGAGAAGGGAGTCGCTCCAGACTCTAGGAACAAGGACTCCAAAGACAAAGACTCCAGAGACACAAACTCTAAAAACAAAGACGGTTGGACACCGCTGTCGTTGGCCGCAGAGCAAGAGCACGAGGAGATTGTCAGGCCGCTGCTCGGAAAAGGGGTAGACGGCCCTACATCTTCGGACGATCTCAAGGACAAAGAACCCATGGGACGCAAAGATGGAAAGAGGTCTTTGTTAGATCGACGGATCGACACGATTGAGGGTACATTAGACACGGAAGCCGACAAGAAGTCTCCATGCTATCTCAGTCGATCGAGAATTCGATGCCCACGAGACGGAACTTGGCCTGCAGTTGAGTCTAGAGCTGTGCCAGCTCCATATGCAGCTACGGCGAAGGTTTATGGAAAGGCTCTGGCATTTCTATCTCACATCGGGCTGAGAGAGCACGACATTCCGCTTGGTCACCAGCGTGTTAGATGGAAGAATGTAAGGGCATCCATCATCTATTCTTGTTGCGTCTATGACGCGGTTTTGCTGATTTCTCTCAGAAACGCGGCAAAACGCTTTATGATGACTACGTGGAACATGAGCTAGGCGCAGCACAAGCGCTGCAAGACCATTTAAATGCATCGGCGTATCGATCGAGGACCGGTCCTGTAGGCGGCCGAGGGCACAATCCTTCACTTTCTGCTCTTTCAGCCTTTTCGATCAACAGCTTTGTGCAAGCAAGCGGCTCCAAATCTGGTGATATAGCTGACCAAGCTAGAAACTCCCGTGTTGAGAACGCCCAAAGCAGCCGTTCTCGGGAAGACCTCGAAATGTGTGAACCGTCTACGGAGGCTCTTTATCTCCTGTCTTGCATGGAACGGGGGAGATATGCGGTCGATCTCTGCCCAGAACTGGTTACGCACGTCGCGGACGACCGACATCTTTTCCACACACTGCGAAATAGCTATCACGAGCACAGAGGAAGATTAAGATGGTGCTGGTCGCTGAGAACGATTCATAGCATCCACTTCATCAAGGTGCGTAAATCAATATCTCCAGGAACCATCATTGTAGGTCTCTCCTGATGGCATGGAATTGGTTCACATACGGAGGTCGTCGATACATTGATGTGCGGTGTCACCATGACATTTGTGAACAAGGGAAGCCTTGTATTTGTCTTCCTCCGGCCAGTCTCGTTCGGCCTAAGGGATCGGAATACGAATGCAGTCCGGTCCCGTCCAAGTTATCACCACCCATTGGAGCACGGCTTATGATGGATTTCTTCACTAGTCCTGACGCCATAGAGCCAGACTCAACGCTAGTCCTGCGACAGCTTCCAAAGAGGACATGTGGAGACCTTCAAACACCATATTCAGAACTAATCGAAGCTTGGGGAATCTACTACAAAGAGGATTGGGACTGGACAAGAATTTGGTGGATTCTCCTGATTGGTTTCTTTCCTCCTAGCTTGTTGTTCGGAATCCTATGGGGAATCTTGAAGCAGGATATCCAGGGTGCGTTTGGAGTAGCGGGCTGGTGGATGGCGGGAGCCGCCATCGTGGTCGGAGTTATTGAAACCATGTCACGTGCCCAATGACACCAATGCATCTGGCACTGGCAAAAAGCGGTGTCGTTTTCGGGGCTTGACGCGGATGGTGGTGGGAAATAAGGACCATACCGAGGCAAGAATCGGCAGTTGGGCCCAGCGACGGAAGCGGGCCAACGGCCTATTTTCTTTACCCGTTGGCGGGGCCCACGGCACAGGGACCCCAGACTCCTCGGGGTCCTTGTCTTCAGTCCTGACACTCCCCCTAGGTTGATGGCTGAATTTGTTTCGCCAGCAAGCTATCCCTTATGAGTCCTGTAGGGGCTTGTCTGGCAGCTGTCCGTGAGACTTAGGAGGCACGACAGACACCTACCTGACACTTTCGAAGCTGACAGAAACCTCGCAGCTTATCGGTCTCTAGGCGAGCTGGTTACATATAGGGCTCATAACTGTCAAGCTGGTAAATACCGCTACACGAGGCAAAATCGGGGCACCACCATTAGGGGCATTCTTGACGCGTATTCACGTTGTTCAACTTTCGCCGGCTACTACAAACACTATTCACTCTGCCCGTCTTGCCTCGCGAGCAGAAAACAATCATGCCGGAGCAGCGGCTACATCTTCTTCTCCGGGTCTTCCTTCTCGAGATGTTGCGTCCCGGCCGGCGGGTCCTCGACGCTCCGGTGCCCCATGGCGGCGTCGGCTCCCACCACGGCCTTTGCATCCTCGTCGTGGGCCACGTCCAGCTTGCGGTGCAGATGCTCGGGCCCGATGACAGTCAGGACAATGACGTAGACGTAGACGCAGGCCATGAAGATGCAAATCACCTTGCCGTACTCGTACCGCTTGACGCCGTCGTCCGTCGGCGGCAGCGGGAAGCGCTCGCCGAGCCGGGCCTCGATGGTGGACGAGGCCGACGACACCAGGTTGCCCAGCTGGTACGAGGTGCCGACGACAAAGGTGCGAAAGGCGCCGGGCGACAGCTCCATGAGGTGGATGGGGATGACGCCCCAGGCGCCCTGGACGCAGAACTGCTGGAAAAAGGCGGCGGCCATGATGGAGGTGGTGCCGACGAAGCTGTAGGGGTAGAGCAGGGCGCCGCCGACGACGCAGCACACGAGGATGCTGAGGCGGCGGCCGACCGACTGGCTGCAGAAGCCGACGACGGAGCCGCCCAGCATGGCGCCGAGGTTGGAGACGACCTGCGTCACCGTCACCTCGGTGGCGCTGAAGCCGAGCTGGTTCTCGAGCATGGTCGGGTATAGATCCTGGCTGCCGTGGCTCATGAAGTTGAAGCCGGCCATGAGCAGGACCAGGTACGTCAGCAGCAGCCAGTGCCGGCGCAGCGCGACCTTGCCCTCGCTGAGGAAGACGGCGCCGGCCGACGAGGCGTCGCTTCCGGCGAGACGGGCCTCGTTGCGCACGCGCTCGCGCTCGCGGTAGTTGAGCGTCTCGGGCAAGACGAGGCGCCAGGCGATGAAGAGGACGGGCGGGCAGGCGCCGAACCAGTAGAGCGGGCGCCATTCGTGCGGCGTCGTGTTGACGAGGGCGCGGGCAAAGGCGGCGCAGAGGAGATATCCAAAGGCGTACTGTTGGTGACGCCGTCGACAGTCAGTCGGTCAGCATGTGATGGGGGGGGGCAAGGGGCTTGTTCCCAAAGACACTCACCCCCTGCTGCAGGATGCCGCTCATGAGGCCCCGAGCCTGCTCGGGACAGTCCTCGAGGGCCGTGGCCGCCGCGTTGCCGTACAGGCCGCCCATGGCGACGCCAAACAGGGCACGGCACGCGAGGAACTGCGAGTAGGTGCTGCAGAAGCCGGTCCCCTGGTCGTGGCCGTCAGCAAGCCGTCCGACGGATGCTGCCACTGCCACTCCTCAGTGCTCACCAGCTCGAGGACGATGAACAGCAGGTTGTTGACGACAAAGGGCCACTTGCGCCCGTAGCGGTCGGCGGCGATGCCAAAGATGATGGAGCCGATGGAGCGGAACATGAGGACCAGCGTGATGCCCCAGGTGATGTCCGTATTGGACTTGCCAAACGTCTTGCTGAGGGAGCTGACGGTGAGGGAGACGCTGAAGAAGTCGAAGGAATCCCACGTCTGCATCGCCAACAAGTCAGCACTCCCGGAACCCCTTCCCATGGCCCGGAGCAGCCACGCACCCAGGCGACGAAAGCGAGGCCGAAGAAGGACCACTGCTGGGCGTTGAGCATGCGCAGCAGCCGCCACGGGTTGGGCATCGCCAGCATCGGCGGCCGCAGCGACGAGAGGCGCGTCGCGAGGTAGCGCCCGGCCGACATGCCCTCCCAGGGCGCGGCGTCGCCGGCGGCTTCGTCGTGGCTGGAGGCAGAGTGTCCCATGCTGGGCAACCGAGGCTACCGTCGAGACTGATCTGTGGTTGATGGTGGTGGCAACGTCGTGGTTGAGCTCGAACTGTCTCGGGGGCCTCGGGAGCGGCGGCGGCTTGCCCAAAGCGTCTTCTTTTCCTCCAGTCGTCTGCTTCTTGCTCTTGTCCTACATGTACACGTCAGGGGGGGGTAGGTCGATGATGGAGGAGCAAAGGGGCAGGATCTGCTTGTCCTATGTATGTATAACACGGACACTTGCTGTCGACTGGTTCATTGCGCCGCCGTCTCCTCCTCCTCTTCACCTCTCCCCTCTCTCTCTGCGCTCCATCGCCAAACCCACCGCCTAAAAAGGCACCGCTTTGCCCTCTTTCTCCAGGCACTTGCATGACAAGCGGCCCTGATGGGCCAGCAGCTGACCAACTAACCCCCCTCGGGCCTCCATGTTGGAGGACTCCAGTGGGATCTGGAAGGTTCCATGGATATGGCGACTCCGTCGCCTGAGTCTATATAGACTCGGATCATCATCACATCTGTAGCTAGATAGACAAGCATCAATAGATTTCTCACTCATACTTTCCAATCCGCAGGTGCGGACAACAGGTTATGACCCCCTCGCGCTTCTACTTACTCAACTTAGGCTCCGAACAAGGTGTATCGGAGCCAACTCCAGTTCACGGCAAGACATCGCCTGAACAACTTGCACTCCAACTGAGGCAAACTATCTGGATTATCTTCAGCCAAAATGACTGAAGCCTCTCTTCAACTTCCCAAAATTCCCATTCTCAAGGGAGAGTCAAATCTTGAAGAATGGAAGGATATGCTCATTCAGACCCTGGAGGTCCAGGATCTGGAAGATTACATCCTCGCAGAAGTCCCGGAGCCCGTGGACCATGCAGAACGAGGAAAATGGAAGCGTGACCGAGCAAAGGTCATGCTGATCATCAAAGGTTCTATTTCACCAGTTCAGACGACCCTCGAAGCGGCCGGGTGGAGCCGATTCACAGAGAAGGATCCAAAGGTTCTTTATGAACTCATTCAACGAGCAATTCCGAAGGTTTCCGCAGATGCGACCGGAGACCTCGTAGCCGAGTTTGGCAGCATAAGCCGCAAGACTTTCGACAGCTTGATGGCTTACCAAACCCGCATTCAGTACCTAAAGCGACGCACAAAAGAATTGAACTGCGGCTTTGACGACAAAGCATGCCTGTGGTTCACCATCAGAGGACTTCGCGAAGTGTATCCCCAGTGGTATACCTTCCTTGAACGAGACATGAACAAAGGCTCTCTGACGTGGGAGAATCTCATGACAGAGATGTACGCTGAAGCCAACAAGGAAAAGACAGCTATGGCGCTCTCAACACTATCCACGAACAGCAACGGAGCATCTGCTACTCAACGCACCTCAGGTCCCTCCGCTCAATCTCAAAAACCCCAGTCTGAGCAGACTAGAAGATTCTGCCCGACTTGCAACAGATCGCACTGGGTTGGATTACCTATGTGTTCCTTCTGCAGAAGACATCACCAAGGCGGAGACGCGGAGTGTTTTGCAAAGCACCCGGAAAAACTCGAAGAATTCCGTCGCCGGAGAAACAGGCAGACGAACGTCGAGCCTGCCCGAGAAGAAGTTTCAATCAATCAGAATGCTTCTCAAGCAGCATTTACTTTCAACAGCGGCCTCATCGGAATGTCGATCACGCCTGAGGCGGCTCAGCCAACCAAACTAAGCCGAGCTGTTCAGCATGCCCTCAAGAGTCAGACGCTTACCCGTGACAGCATCATTGATGACTCGGGAGCAAGCAATCACACCTTTAACGACCTAAAATGGTTTAAGGATATTAAGGAATTGCCACAGGAACTCTCGTTCACGTCAGCCAACGGGGGGGATCTAGTAGCCAAGGCGATAGGCACAGCTTACATACGGGCCAAACGGTCAGACGGACTGGTGACCGAGATGAATCTCGGCCGCTCAGTCTATTGTCCCACCGCGCCAATCAATCTTCTTAGCTCAGGTCAGCTGAGAGCTGATGGAGCGATTCGCGACGGCTTCAAAGACTGCATCATCCACAAGGACTCCAAGACGGAGATGGCCATGATCGATTGGATCAACAATGTGGCAGTCATCCGATCGGAAACGCCGACGACTCGACAACAAAACCAGGGCAACATGCTCCTGGCAGTATCTTATCAAGTCATGCACGAGCGATTGATGCATGCATCGCCAGAAATCGTTCTCAAGGCCTGTGAACAGGCAGGGATCAAAATCTCAAACAGGGAAGCAAAGGAACACCATTGCAGGACATGCCACCTCGCAAAGTCTGCCTAATCGTCAGTCGTACGCCGCCTGTGCGACCAGCCCGACCGCTGAGTCTCGTTCGGATCGACCTCATCGAGAACAAGCCACTAGGTCATCGCCAATTTCGCTATACATGGCACGCAGTAGATGCCCATTGTGGATACCACTGGGTTCGATTTCTTCGACACAAAGACGAGCTCTTTCAAGCTACGAAAGATTTTGATGCTTACATTCAACGAACAACTGGATATCAGGTCCAAGAATATGGCATGGACAATGATGTGTCTTTCAACTGGACAACAGAGTTGATACCTGGGCCCGGGCAAACGGAATCAGTCTCAAACCGACCGTGCCTGGTACACCCAGACAGAATGGATTGACAGAGAGGGCTGGATCGAAGATCACACAGCTCGCTCGATGCATCATGATTCACTCCAAGCTTCCGGAATTCTTGTGGCCCTATGCTCAAGAATCCGTCGTCAAAGTTCTTAACCTGCTTCCGTGCAAATCTAATCAAGGACTCTCACCTCATGAGGTCTTTGCCAGTTTTCTCCGAGTTAACGAGGAACTTCACAAACCCTACATTCGCCACCTACGCACGTTTGGTTGTGTTGCATACGTACACATCAAGAAAGAACGGCGCGTACAGGCCAGGAAGATGGCTCCAAGAGCTGAAGAAGGAAAGTTAGTTGGCTGGGAAGGCATTCATGGCAAAATTTACCACATTTACGTGCCAGCTCGGAATCGAATCGTCCGGGCATGTGATGTTCGCTTTTACGAGAAACTCCTCCAGGAACCACAAAAGTCGGCAAGCGCCGAAGAAGTCGATACAATTAAGTACGAAGCTACGCTTCTCGACGAAGTTCAAGAAGAAGAAGCTGGAGCAACCATCGTTGAGCGAATATCTGATTCGCTGTCAACCATCGAACCGGGAGGAAGGACGACTGATAAGGGTCCGTCCATCGAAGAAACGCAAGACCATCATCTGCCAACGCCGGAGATAACGCAAGAGCTGGATGAATCCCACGATTCTTCTGTGAATACTCTGTCAGACTCCGAAGACAGCCAGGAAATTGACGGACTGGCTGATGAACGGCCAATTCCTCCAGAAACAAGCGAGACTTACACCACGCCGGTCGTGAGTTTACCTCGACCGAGTCGTCAAAACGCGCAGCGACCCGCAGGGTACTATCAAAAGCTTCATCACGGCAATTCGGGAGATCAGGCTTTAGCTTTGTTACCCCAGACGTAGTCTCTCCGATAAACCGTCTAGAAACACTTTGTTTGACAGCAATGAAGGCGGAAAGCCTTGCAAACTCGCTGCAAAGGCTACCCGTTCCTAAGTCATACAGAAAGGCTCGAGTGTCCCCAGATTGGGAGACGAAGTGGAAACCAGCATTTGACAAGCAGTACAAGTACCTCCAAGATCGAAGTGTATGGACACTAGAAGAATTACCCCACGATGCAAAACTACTTCCCGGAAAATGGGTTCTCGACGAGAAGAAACTTCCGACAGGAGAACTGGTCGGCAGAGCCCGCTGGGTTGTCTGTGGGAATTTTGAGGAACACGACAGCTGGGCAGTCCAGGATGTGTATGCTGCCGTTGCAAACACGACATCAGTCAAAATATTCTTAATATGGACAGCAATTCTCGACCTCGAATGTTATCAGTTCGACATCGCTACAGCCTTTTTGAATGCGGACATACCTGAGGGCACGAATATCTATGTTATGCAGCCAGAAGGCTACGAGGACGGTACAAGTAGAGTTTGTCTTTTGAAGAAAGCTCTATACGGCCTGCGAAAGAGCCCACTTTGGTGGTTTCTCACAATCACGCCCATTTTGAAGACCCTTGGATTCGAGCCCCTTGACGCGGATCTCTGTCTATTCAAGGACGAAAAGCGAGGCTGCATTCTGATCCTCTATGTGGACGATATGCTAGTCGCTGCACCAACAAAAGAGACAGTCTTCCACGTCAAGGAGCAGCTCCAATCGTTCTTTGAGCTGAAAGACCTTGGTGAAGTGAACGACTTCCTCGGATTTACGGTCATCAGAGATAGGCCGAACAGGCGCGTACATCTCACAGGAGAAGTTTACCGAGAAAATCATATCCAAGTATGGATATCAGACGCTCAATGCAGCAACAACACCATGGCCCCGAGGATTTGGGCTTCCGTCTACTTGGGCGTCCGACAAATCTCTCCAGAAATCCTACATCAAACAGACTGGCTCACTAAACTTTCTTTCAACTGGGACAAGACCCGACATTACGTACACAACAAACCGTCTTTGCGAAGCTAATGCTGGGCCGTCTGAACAGCATATGCAGTTACTTAAACACCTTTTCAGGTATCTCATTGGTACCAAGAACTTATCTCTGTGCTTGGGTGGAAAATACTCCATTGCCAATCTACCACTTCTCGCCTTCGCGGACGCGGCGTTCGCCGACCGAATACCGACACGCCACTCGACTGCTGGCTATGTCGTTCTTCTTGCAGGTTGTCCAATCTTGTGGAAATCTAGCAGGCAGACAATCGTAGCGCTATCTACAACGGAAGCTGAGTTCATGAATCTCACACCAACTGGGCAAGCTTTGCTATGGATAAACCGCATTGTTCAAAATCTTGGGATTCAATCTGCAAAACCGACAATCATATTTACAGACTCGCGCAACGCCCAGCTCACGGTACTCAACCCAATGAAATCGGCACGAACCCGCCACATCGACGTCCGTTACAAATGGATCATTGACCGAGTAACTCGAGGAGACTTTGACATCCAACATGTCTCAACACAGGACATGACAGCTGACGGACTGACAAAGCCACTCACCCAGGACCGTCACGTTGCGTTTGTTCGACAACGGACTTACCTGTCTTGCAAACACCTGATCCTGCATTCCAACTTCAGGCATTCGATCTTGTTTTCATCTAGCCATGTCTGGCTACGGGGGGGTGTTGGAGGACTCCAGTGGGATCTGGAAGGTTCCATGGATATGGCGACTCCGTCGCCTGAGTCTATATAGACTCGGATCATCATCACATCTGTAGCTAGATAGACAAGCATCAATAGATTTCTCACTCATACTTTCCAATCCGCAGGTGCGGACAACACTCCATGTCTCGGACTTGCTTTATCCCACATGTGTCAGAGGGGGTGTCAAGCCCTTCCGTCTTATCCGGGTCTTCGCCGTCAAGCCATGACGGACCGACGGCCCAGGCCACAGCAATTGCAGTCGTCATTGGACACACGCGGGGCGCACTTCGGAGCTACACGCGTTTCGGCTCACGTCTTCTAAGCCCGGGCTTGCGGACCCACGTCGTCTCTCCCTCTAGCCGCCAAGTCTGTCTGTGGAGAGAGGTCCCCGGATCCATGGCCCGCTCGTGGGGACCCGCTCCTCGCATGAGCTTCTCCGGATCTGTGGAGGCGGCCCATCCCATCGGCCTCGGGCTTGCCGAGAACCGACCGGCATCTGCCATATCCCACCTCCTCCGCCGCGGCAACTGCTTCTGTCACGCGCGTCATCAGACACGCATCTCGCGGCGTTTGAGGCTTCAGGAAACTAGATGCAACAAGATTGATGACGATTCGTTGCCTACGCGTCATGCCGTAAATAGACGTTGCCGTGGGCCTCTGTCTTCTCTCAAACAGAACGAGCAGCTACGGCTTCACACGCCATCCATTATCAAGCACCTCTAGAGTCTAGACTGGCGTTGCAAAAGCTTCAAGTCATCCATTATCATCCACTTTCGGTAACGGCCGCCAAATCCTGTGAGCATCGTGCCACATGGTTTGCATGGGCCGCTTCCCGGCGCGCTTCCTCCAGCAAACTTGCCACCTTTTTCCTTTCCCTCCTCGTCTCATCTTCGCCCTCGTCATCACTCATCATCAAGATTGGGCTCCGGCTGGGAAAGTTGCTTTGAGTCGTGGTGCCGCCCCAGGCCAATCGAGTAGCGCAACTATTTTGCTATTTGCTCCAGCTTGCACTATATTTACAAGCCGTTCGTGCACACATGGTATGTACTATAACTCGCTTTGACTTACGGAGTAATTACGTACTTGATAAAAATATCGGAATCTTCACAGCCAGCTGTCTTTGCTTTTATGACGGCCGGCTAGGCCCTACTTGGGAGAGTCTCACTATCAGCTCTAGGTCCTAAGCTTATACAGGTAATCATCGGCAAGTATCCGTAAAGGCAATAGTATCAATTAAAGTAGCCCAGCTAGTCGGCTGACTAGTCGCTACATGTTACCATTTACAGCCACGAGAGTTGACATGAATATACTTGGGAAATACCGATTTAAAATAACTCGCTCGGCAAGCAGCTACTTGTGGGCTGCCCAAATCAAACGCTCCCCTATTACACCGAGACTCGTAGCGGCGTAAGCAACCGGTAACCCACCAGTACGAATTCCACGTATATCCCCGTTCCTGAACCGTGCTTGTGCGGGGGGGCTTCTGCGATATCTGGTCGAGTCGGTCAGAGTCGGCTGCGAGGCGGCATCAACAGCAGTCGAGGCAGTCGAGGCAGCATTCGCAGCTCTCGCCGCAGAGGAAACAGCAGCACATGGCGGCGATACTAGAGACGGGACGCCGGGTCAGTCCAATGCCATGCGGTGGAGCTGCGCGATGATACGTACCAGGTATAGAGGCAGCCATGGCTCTTTTCTTGCTGGGGCGGCGGCGGCGGTGCTTGTTGGTATTGCATCTGTGCGCGACAAATGGTCAAGGCCGTGGCACGACAAGCGCAGAGTCGGGCAGCAGACGTACTTGCTGAGGAGGCGGATAGCCTTGGCCGCCGGGGGGGTATCCGCCCTGGGGCTGCTGCGGGTAGTAGCCGCTGGGAGAGGGCGTCAGTCGGGGAGAGGCTGCGGCGCCCGGAGAGCAGCGGGCGCGACACTTGGTCACTTACCCTTGAGGCTGGCCGTACGGTTGCGACATGGTGTATCAGGGGAAGGCGAAGGACGGATTGATGGGTGAGCGCCGAGCGGTCGTTTTGCAGCCGAGGGATAAAGGAGAGGAGAAGGCAATCTCGACGAGAGATTGAGATGCACATGCGGCACGTGACTGATGCAGAGCGCTGCTCTCGCCAGTTGCACCCCTGGAGAGGTGCATCTGCTTGCACTGCCCAGCACAAAGGCGGCGGGGAGGAGGGCGTCCTGCCTGCGGACCACTCACACAATGGGTTGCCTGCACTGCCCACTGCCCAGTGCCAAACGGGGGTCTCGAGGTGGGGAGCTGTGCTGGCAGGCCACTCACAGAGAGTCTTCTCCCCGCTCTGTGCCGTGTGTGCTTTGCTGTCTTACCGGGGGGGGGGCAGAGGAGTACTAAGGTATGGAGTACAGCACAGAATGTCATCTACGGGAGTACTGCAGTTAGTATGTATTCGAATCCCAGGCAGCATCCACGGCCGGGCCCATGGTGGCCCCAACAGCACACAAGCTTGGTATGTATACAGTACAGTACGCGCAAACCACGGTACATGTACGGATAGCTGATACACCCATCACCCATCTTCACGCCATGGCCTCGACTTTCGTTCTGTGGACGAGCTTCGACGGCACAGTACCAGCGGTAGCGGTGGCAACGACTCCAAAGCCAGGATCACCACGTCCACGTCCAAGATGGAAACGACCTCTGCGGCGAATTGGATCCCGTCTCCGCCCTGCACCACAAAGTACAGTACAAGCCTCATGCAGCTCCGCGAGCTGTCGTGGCTGACGCTGATCGGCTACGTGTCGGAGCCTGACCGAAGGATTCGGCTACCATCAGCCGCATCCTGGCTTGGGGAGACATCCCTGGCCTGGTCACCTTCCCGGCGAAATCGGGCGGTGTACTGTACTGTAGGATCCAACCGAGTTTCATTGCCAAGAAGAAGCTCGAGCTTCCGTAGAACAACTCGGGTTGCGGCTTATTGGTGCCGGAAAACACGGTGCCTGCTATTCATAAGTGAAGCTTTCGCTTGAGTCGAAGCCATAGTTTAGATCCATCAACCTTGTAAAATGCCGCTGCACCGGGCAAATAGGGGCACCTGCATTAGAGGTGCTGTTCAAAGCGTCTTTCAAGTCCCTCTTGTCCTGACGAAAATCAAACTCTGGACTAACCATGGTCTTTCTCGACATTGTCTTCTCTAAACCGACGAGTAAAACGCTCGAGTTGTATATAAATCAAACCATAGAACTACAAGCCCCACATCGTCCTTGAATGGCTTTTAGAGACAACATTCAGCTCAACGGGGCAACCAATGGCTTTGGGGGGCGAGATATACGCGTGCGCATAACAAACAATACTGTGACTGGGAACATAATGGCCAAGGCTGTTGAGGAAATAGCTGGTCCCCGTAGGCCCGTCCCGCGTTGATAGTTGTATCATTATCATCCAGACAAACCGATACACTTCCGATGGTGGCGTAACGGCCATCTGGCACCCCAGCCTGCCGCATGTGTCAATGCCGATATTGGCCCTCCAGTCTCGAGCGGCGAGTCAATCGTGACATGTCTACCTACATGGGTGCTACAACAGTCACAAGAAACGCCGTCGTCCGTCCCCGGCCATCATACATCCTTCTCCGTTCCCATGAATTGCTGCATCCCATATGTACCGTTCTTCGACACCTTCTCCCCCTAGCCGGCCACAAACCAGACCCACGACGACCAGCGGCAGCCCTCGACGCCCCTTCACCATCCCGCCAGCACGTCGGCAATAATACCCTTTGCCTCCAGTTCTCGCTCCCTCCACAATGGCGGCAGCCAACCGCGCACGCCCCGCGGCTGGATCTTCATGGCCAAGGTTGCTGGAGACACTAGTGACGAGAACCTGGTTGGATGATACCGCCACAAAGGACCTTGTCGGTCAGCTCGGCGATATGGCCGGGGCGCAGCCAGGTAGTGTAAAATTAGCAGCTGGGAGATGCGACGTGCTGCCGAAGCACGCCCCTGGGCACCGCCCCAGTAGGCAGGATGACGCCCTGGTTCCTTGGTTCCAGACCCGTCACCTTGCGGCCGGGGTAATTTTATAATTCTGGGTTGACATGGATAAGCCTCCCAAGTCTCCCTCAACGTCGCCAGCGGTCTCACGTCCCCAGAACAGCGACCCAGCGACGATCGGATGCAAGAGCCTGTCTAGCTAATTAGAGTGAACACAAATATAATTAGAAGTAACCTTGATATCGTCATCGAGTCAGAAGAACCAATCATCTTTTTATCCACCATGCCTTGCTACCTATAGCTGCTCAATATCCCGACCAAGCGTACACACCACCTAAGACAGGCTGAGAAAGAAGGTGTAGGCGAAGACAAATTTTAGAAGTTTGAATTTTCCACTGCTCGTCCACCGAATACAACACTCTGTCCCGGGCATGTTTGACAGGATCTCTTCCCTCATCTCATCTTTTACAAAGCCACATGACGCTTGAAAAAGAACACCCCAACACCATTCCTCGCAGATGTGCCGTTTACAGGACCATGGCGGCGGCCAGAATGGCAGCCAGGGCACCAGTGACAGGGCCACCTGCAGCAGCGCCGGAGCTGGAGCTTGGAGAAGCGCTCCGAGTCGAGGTGCTGGCAGCGCGAGATCCGGCGGCCGTGGGCGTGGAGTCGTCGTCGTCAGAGTCGCTCGCGCTGCTCGACGCGGCTCTGGTGGGGGTGGAACGGGAGCTGGTGTGGGACATGCTGCCGGCATGGGAGCTGGTTATGGACATGGACCCAGAGTGAGAAGAGCCCGACACGGAGGAGCTGCCAGAGACCTTGGCGCAGGCGGCGGCGGCGGCCGACTGGGCCTTGGGGATGTCCTCGGTCTTGCACTCCTTGATGATGCAGGGCGCGACAAGTTCCATGAGCTTCTGCTGGTTCTTGCAAGCACATGCGACGTCCTCGAGCTTGCAGCCAGTCTGGGGAACAGCTTTGGTGATGCAGGGAATCTGTATGAAAGCAAAGATAAGGCAGTCAGCAACAGGGCATTGATACGCAGCATCATCGGGAAGGCCCTACAGCGCATTGAGGCTGGCCAGCAAAGTCCTGGGCGGCAGCGAAGCCGGCGACGGCGAGGATGGCGAGAGTGACCTTCATGATTGCGAGACGCGTGCGTGTTTGAGTCTGGTAAATGGGTAATGCTCGTGGCTGATGGAGGGGACCAAGGGAGGGGGAGGGCAGAAGGGGAGGGCAAAAGGGGAGGGAGCTCGGCTTTATAAAGTGCAGGCGGCTGGGCGACGCCGACAATAACATTGGCTCCTCACAGCCCTGCGACGTGGAAATTACCGGGGGGATTCCTCCCTAAACAAAGCAAGGCAGCAACATGGCCTCGCCCAAGTGCAAAGTAAAATTACTGGGCAGGCGGCCGTTGCTTTGTTCTTGCAGCTTCTAGCCAACCAGCAACGTCATCGCGAGTCCACCACCATCGTGACTGGTCAGCGGCAGCCCTCTGCCGTGCTGACCCATGGCACGCTAAACAGGCCTGGAAGCCTCGAGGGGGCCATGCAGCCAACTTAGCAGCCCGTCGACCCGTGTGCTGTAACTTGCAACAGGCGCAGCGAGCACGGTATTACGGCAATGGCGGTGCCGGGCGGCGGCTAACAAGCAATAACACGCCCGACCAGGTACTGCAGGTATGCGTAACGCAATAAATGTTACTTTACTCAACCAACTGTGGCTAATATTAATAAGGCTGCATCTCCCAGGACGTGGTAAGATGAGACCATCCAGTTACTCCGAGCCGGCCGCCCGGTTTATATAACCACGAGGCAGCCTCGCCTGTTGATACCGAGGCGCCGCTGCCCATGCTCGCGGCTGCCCGTGTCTGCCCGTGGCTGCCCGTGTCCCACTCCCACACATTATCCCCGGCCGCCCGGTCTGAGCAACCCGCCCGGGCCGAACCACCGACTCCCGTTCGCGGCGCCACCTCGGGACGCACATGGTTTCTTTCTCACCGAGTCGAGTCTGGAGCCAGTCTGTATTCGCCTCTGGTTGTCGGTCACGACACCCGGCCATTTCCTCCAGCACTGACGAGTCCAAGCGGGCCAAGGAATCGGAGCGAACAGGTGGAGAGTGGAGACAGAGAAACAGAACAGGTGGGCCGTCGGCATCGCGCTACCTCTCCGCTCCTCATTCAACCCTGGCAAAGATCCGATTTGCCGCCTGTACATGTACCTTGACCGCGACTTATTAGATGCGCACATCGCTGTCATGTCCATCCATGTACGGGTCGAAATCTCGGCGCTCTCAATGCTCCGCAGTCACTCCCACCCCCGTGGCGCACCGCGCCAGAGGCCGTGCACCTCACACATGCAGCCCCCCTACCTTAGCATCCATGCAGGCCTCACGCCAACCCGTACCGCCTTTCACCTGCCCCTGGCATGCGGCACTTGCGGATGCGCTTCCGCCTCGACGCAAAGCATCCATCAGCCCCTGCAGTAGCGCATCATGTGCAAGTCGTGTGCAAGTCGTGTTGTTCGGTGTTCTTTTCTTCGCTACACATAGCACAGAACGTCTTCTGCCGGCGTGCAGACAAAAATCAATCCTCGTGCTTAAGCCGCCCACCATGCTCCTCGTCTCGAAACCATCATTAGCATCGAAGCTCGCGGCGGCTTGTTGACCAACCTCTCCTCTGCCAAACCCACCAACGCCTGCCCTCCAGCCCCTGCTCCACCATAACGGGTATCCGGCTAGCTATATAATCCTACAATGTCACCTCCATCAAGTCCCTTGATGTGCTGCTCCCCAATCATCGCGACAACAGGCCGTGACCGACCACAGATGGGCCCGTGGCTCGGCCTTGACTCTTTGGGACTCTGCCCTACAGTCAAACCCCACCGCCCATAAAGGCGGCCAGATCATCCAGGTCCAGTAGCTGCCGCTCAAAGGCCTGGCACAGTTCCGGCGCCGTCATGTCTTGGCTTGTCGTCTGGCCCTCTTGGTTTGGCGCCATGCCGTTGGGCGTCATGTCGGGACTCGGCTGCTTCGCCTCCTGCGCCTGCATGGGCGCCGTCGGGGCGCTACCCGAGGGAGGTGAATTGGCCGTCGCCGGCGTGGAAACGCCCCCGGAGCCGCCGTTGATAGTGGTGACGCCCGGGCGGCGTGGCATGGCCACGGGGGGCTCGCTGTCCTCCCGGACCGACTCGGAGGCGGAGCGGGCCGCCGTGGCGTTTTGGCCCGACGCGTTTCCGCCAGAGACTTGCTGCTGGTCGTAATCCATGGCGTCGGGGTTGGTGTCGGCATTGGACGAGATCTCGTCCTTTATGCCGGCACCGTGCGAGTTGGAGCCGTGCCTGGATGACCCCGAGGCTCCCGACGATGCGGCGGCGTCGTTGTTGAGGACCCGCTGCATCACCGTCAAGTGCCTAAGCCAGCTGGTCATCAGGGGCCAATTCTCAGTGCCGTCGTGCATGAAGCGAAGACCGTCCTTGACGATGTGGGCCGCAGTCTCGACGGCGTTGGGCGGCGTCAGCCCCTTGAGAGACAGGTATGCGACAGTGGCGCTGGCGGTGAAGGAGGAGAAGAGCATGAAGATGGGGAAGCAGGTGGCGTGGTCCTTTTCCGCACCCGCCTCGACGGCAGTAAGCAGGGAAATGGTGCCATGGCAGGAAGTGAACAGGCGATCAACAATGTCGTGGCACCTGGGGCTCATTCGGAACGACTCGACGGCAAAGTTGGGCGACGTCACCTCCTGCAGGAGTCGGCGGCGATGGACAAAGACGGTGGCGCAGTGGAGCAGGCAGTGGAGCATGGCAAAGGTGTAGCCCGATCCCATGGTCATGTGGAGGTTGATCTGGCCGGGCTTATCGACAAATTGCATGGGCAGGGAGGCGCGAAGGCCCTCGATCTTGGCAATCAAGTTGCTGCAGTCATCCTCGCGGAAGTTGGGCAACGACGTGACGGTGAGCATGGCCACGACGTCGCGCCAGATGGTGGCGGCGAGGACGATGTAGCCAAACTCACCAATATCGCCGGCCGGGGCCAGGGTCGGGGACATGGCGGTGTGGTTGAGCTGCTGGATGAGCGTCTTGACGTAGACGGCATTGCCAAAGGCGAAGTTGATGTCCGAGCAGGGAAGAGGCACATCGGATGTGTCCTGGACGGAGAGGGCCGAGAACCGGCCTGGCGTGCTGGTGAGGAGACAGTCGAGGATGTAGACGAGCCAGAGGGTGCGCCGGAACGACTCATCGCGCAGGAACTGGTCGGCATTGTCGGATGCATGGTGGCCGTTGAGGATCCTGTACATCTGCAGCATGCGGGCAGCCTGGCCGAGGTAGATGTAGGCGCGAACGGCATTGCGGGTCCCCCATTCGTGGATGATGAGAAGACAGAGCGCCTGGATATCGGCCAGGTTCGGATGGTCCAAGTTCTGGTTGATGAGGCCAACTGCCTTGGCGGCAAAGGTTTCGGCAGCCTGGGTGGGACTGCCGTAGCGGCGGATGAGGCTAGGAGAGCTCCTACAGAAGTTGGGTTATCGTCAGCAGGCGATGGGCCATGTGGGAAGCTGGCGAGACAAGACGTCCACGCCATCGCCGCCACAGGATGGGGTGAGACGGCAAGACGGCCCGATCGGCGGTCCGCACAGCGGCCCGATGTGGGCAAAGCCGGGGAGTCCGGGAGGGCGGCGCAGGGAAGGGCAGCCAAGGGCAAGAGTGACGTACCGGGCGGCACAGGTCAAGAGACCATAGACCAAGGTCGATTCCAACGATGCATTCTTGAGCTGTTGCACGAATGACGGCTTGTGGAACGCGACGCAGGCTGGAAACGTCTTGGAGACGACACGCTCGCACTCGGCGATAAGCTCTGGTGTGAGCCTAAGGCGCCCATTGTTAGAGAGGATGGCAAGGCGAAGTAGAATCCAACGCAAGTGAGAAAACGGAAAAGAGAAAACAAGCAAAAGACCCAAGCAAGTGAATTAGCTCCGTCGTTGAGGCGACGCCACCAAGACAAACGAGAGCAGGACAGGGCCCGGATCGAGGGCCGGATCGAGGGGGGGCGCAGGCGGGGGAGCAGACGAGGAGCAGCCAACCAATGCAACGGCGGGCGGCATGTGAGTCGAGCAGGGCGGGCGGCGACGGGGCTCCAGAGGAGAGGCCGCCGGCCACATGGATAGAGGAAGGGGGGCCCTTGTGGAGGGGGGCGGCCAAAGGACGGTGCGAGAGGAGAGGCAATGATGGGGGCGACGGGGGACGCGGCCAGGTACTTTTTGGCCGACAGGGCAGGCAACTGTTGAAGAAGAGCAGGGCAAAAAGCAAGGAGTTGATGATTGCGTCGGCGGCACCATGGGGATGGAGCAAAGGCGAAGCGGGACCGAGAGAGGAATGAAAGGTTCGACTCACTTCTCCGAGGCGGCCTGGACATGCCTGGCGGAGCCTGAGCCCACCACGGCCTGTCTGGCGTCAGAGACACCGGCGCCGGAAGCCGGGAGGCTGTCGCGAGCTGGGCGGTGGGCGCTGCTCGAGTGGCGTGCAGGGCTCTGGCCGTGGTGATGGGCCATGCTCTCCGAGGGCAGATAGCACTCGTGCATGCCCTTTGCGCAGTTTTTGCACGGCGCGCGCCCGTTCTCGTAGACGCACTTGGTCTTGCCCTTGCGACAGCGCACACAGGCGCCGCCGGCCCTCAGGGCGGTCGAGCGCACCACTCCCGACGACATGGCGAGTCAGCGGGCGGCGAGCGGCGAAAAAAAAGGGGGCAGAGACGAAGACGGGCCCTGGGGTGGAGTCGGCGGCGAGAAGAGGCGACGCGGGTTTTGCGACTGCGTGCGGTGCCAACAGGGCAGAGACGGTCAGAGAGGGCCGGAGGTCGCGTCAGGCCCCCGTTCTCGGTCGGGGCCGGAACAGAAGAGGGTTGTCAAAAAAAGGATGGAAAGACGCGACGGACAGGCCGCGCTGCAGACCAGAAAAGAAGCAAATTGCTGATCCAGACAGGAATTGCGGCAATGGTCGATGCGGCGGCGGCCGTCTCCCAAGGACCGTCTGCGGCAAGACGGCTGCTGCGGCGGATGGTGGTGGATGGACGTGGGCGAAAAGAAGGAGAGAGAGAAAAGGTGGTGGTGGGCGGGAGCGGGAGAGACGAGGAAAGACGGGAGCGGGCGGCGCTGGAGAGCGAGTGAGGACGGGCGCCTTTTTGGGGGAGCGGGGCGTGTCTGGTGCGGGAGGAGGAAGAGAGAGAGAGAGAGAGAGAGAGCGCGAGGTGGGGGGGAGAAGTGATGGGCGCGGGCGCGAGAGAGAGAGAGAGAGAGGGCCGGCAGCGGCAGCAGCAAGCGACGAGCAGCCCGCCCGCGACAACAGCACAGGGCACGGGGGGATCGGCCTTGGGCTGCCGGAGCCTGTGGCCCACCCTGCAGGACCCAGAGCTCCGCAGGGCCAACAGCCAGCGCCCGCGCCAGCGGCGGCGGCGGCGACGGCAGCAGCAGGTTTCGATGGGGCCAGGAAATGGGTCCGTACAGTGCCTGTACTGTCCAGGGGACAAGACGTGCCCGCTCCCGCCAGCCCTTCTCGTGGCCATCACGTCGCGGCAAAGGATGCCGCGGCACGTACATACGATACCAAGAGAGCGAGCGCGCGTGCGCAACTGCAAGGGGGAGAGACAGGCAGAGCATGACAGGCCGCAGTGCAGCCACCACGACGCCGCCGCCGCCGCCGCCGCCCGCCCGCCTGTCCGCCCATCAGCACCGCCGTCGCCGTTCGCCGCCTCCCTCAACCAAGAAAAAAGGCTGTTTTGTCGCACAGTGCCGGGCGGGCACGCGAGCAAGCACACGGCGGCCCACCGAGCCGATAATGACGCGCGCCCTGGAGAAACTCGGGAGCTGCCCGTCTTGATGTCCGATCGGCCATGCCTCTCCTTGCCATGGACCGGTGCTTATTCTGCATCTTCGTTCATTCGTCTTGCTTGTCCGACGACATGGTCGTACGTGACATGCCTGGCACGCGAGCCTCGATGGAACAGAGCGCCTCCGCAACCGTGCGCGCCAGCCAGCCAGCCAAGCCCGTCAGTCCGGCTGCCCTGTCGAAAAAAAAATCAAGACAATCTCTCGGGATGCGCAGCAGACAGACAAGGCCGAGACCACTGGGAACCCCCCTTCCCCAGCCGTCCCCCGTGTGCTCCGGAGGCGGGCCAGACGGTCTCGCACAGTGTGTAAAGCATCCCCGATGCACGGAGCACACACTGGTAGCAAAACCTTATAACTCTCGGTCGGTGGAGGCTGCCGCCGACGCGCCTTTCTGCACTGTACCGACGGGGGGGACAGACGAGAGCACGGAGAGGCCAAGGGGAAATCCTCCTGCCTTGCTCACACACCCCCTCCTTTCCGTCTGCCCATCCTGGGACGTCAGACGCCGTCCCAGTTTGGCTATTTTGGTCAGTCAGTCAGGTGGTGGTGGTGGTGCGCCGCGCCCGAACAAGCCTGCATTCCCGGCCGACGAGGCGGGCGGGCAGGCGGGCGGGCAGGCGGGCGAACACAGCCGCAGTCGCCCACGTCCATGTTTAGGACTTGGGGCCTGCAATGAATCGCTCTCTCTCTCTCTCGCTCCGGCTCCGGCTCTTGTTTCCCTGCGTTACCCAGTTCTCGTCCGTCCGGCCCCCCTCTTTCTTCCCCAACATCAGGTCAGCCTGGCTTGGCCCCCCCTCTTCGCCTGCTTCCCCTCCCCGAATTCACGCGCCTACATCATACGCACATACATACATACATACATACATGGCAGGCGACACGGATGGAGAGAGGGAAAGGGGGGAGGGAGGGGTGGGCAGCAGGCGGCCGGGGAGTGTCCACTCAGAGCGCGGGCACGAGGCCGGAGAGCCCGTGATGGGCGGCCCGTCCGAGGCAGGGCAGTTTTCTGGCTCAGCGAGCCGCCGTGGCCCCCCTTCTCCTTTATTATTCCTGGCCCCGGGACTTCGCGTGGCGAGTGGGGCCGAGACGCCAGTCGCCTCGAGTAATGCGCCCACGGCAGGCGACGTACTGTAAATAATACAGTGCCTACCGTACCTGTACCTCCCCCTGTACAGTACCTGATGGAGGCCGGGCCAACAACCATGCCCCGATGATTTCAGCGGTGGTCGCAAGGTGTGATTAGGCAGACAAGGGCGAGGGTCAGTGTTGGGCACGTGTGAGCGACAAACGCCCCGTTGGCCGCCTTCGGCTCCGTGGCCCGTTTTCTTCCCCTCGCTACGTCATGTATGCCGGACCAGTCAAGAGACGACAGGCTGCTTGCTCTCTCCTCGTGCGGACCGACGATCCAATTTCACTCATATGCATGCATGGATGCAAGGCAGACTTGGGGATGAAGAAGACACAAACTGGGGGCCGAGAGCGTGGGCGGACGGCCCCACTGGCGTTGACTGGCCGGGACACTGCCAGTAAGAACGGGACGCAACTGTGCCGGGCCGCGTTGCAGGGCAAGAAGCCGAGATGCGGCAGGCCGTCGCCAGTCATTGCATGCATTTTCGTCCCCCAGTGACGCCCTGCTCTGCCGTACTCTGGAAATCACCCATCGTATCCAGAGGGTCCGCGTCTTCCAGTGCTTTCTCGCCCCCCTCCCGGGACTCATTTGCTCATATGCTCATATGCATCATCGCAACCCACACGACGATTGCAGAGGCAGCCGTGCTGTGCGCGTTTGGACAGTGTGGAGAGTCGCGCGCAGGGACTGTGCCGGAGACCCAGCCCACACGCCTCTCGGCGCGGAGAGGAGGGGAAGAAGCCGGGGAAGGGCTCACATCGGTTGGGGGCCTCGTCGTCATCCTTGGGAACCCGGCACTCTCCTCCTCAGGCCCGAGGCAATCCGGACATGACCCCTTGGGCCCCCCAGAAAGTCACATCGTGGGCAGACAGGCGTGCACCGTGTGTATTCCCCGAAAAAGGCTACGGACGGCCTCGCTGTGCCGGAGCAGGCGCCGAGTAATTACAGTGGGGTGTATCTCGGTATCGCCTGCTTTGCCTCAGGCAGCAACTGCAACTCGCGACCTCGCCTTCTCGCTCGCGCCCCCTTCTCCCACCTTGGCACCTGTTTCTCCTCTCCTCTCCCCTCCATTCTCCTCTCCTCCCACTTGAACAAGGCCGCTTGGAACGGCTACTTTCCATCCATCACGCCAGCGGCTACCGGGCCATGGGTGATCCACCATCTCCGCTTCGGACCTCGGCGTACAGGGAATGGATGACTGAGGAACCAACCAACCAACTGACCAACAGCGTCTTGCCCATCAGCCCGACCGGCTGTCGACCTCTTTCCTTGCCCAAACCGGCCCCTGCCCGCTGCCGCTGCCGGGGAGGGGAGACACAAGATGAGGGGGGAGACGGCTTTGCACGGGCCTTGGAAGGACCAATGGAAAACGGCTTCATGCCACCCCGACAAATGGGGCTTCCGTCTGCCGCCGCCGAGACACGCGCCCTTTTCTTTTCGGTCGGAGGTACGATTAGCGGGGCCAGCCAAGGACAGTGTGAGCGAGTGCAAACGCCGCAAATGGGGACGGGCCGCCGCCGACGTCGAGGCGTAGCCATGCTTGTCAATTCCCTCCCCATTCCTTGGCAAGCTCCCCCCCGTCCCGTTGATGCTTTCGCTTCCGGGCCAAACTGCAGTGACCTCCGCGGGCAAGCGTTGGTGATATACCACGGAGCATGGCTGCTCTATTCGTCGTCACGGGCCCCCGTTTCTGCCCGTCTCTTCACCAGGGCGTCCGTCTCTTCCGGTCACTGCCGGGGCGGAGCCATCCAAGCGCGCTACGGGCACGAGTACGGAGAGGGGGGTGCTCCTCCGGTACTCGGTACATTGGCATCTGCCCTGCGACAATCCCAAGGTATTCGGAGGTCTCGAGGCGAGGGTACGTGCACCAAGCTGCACGCGTGCCCCGGGCCTTGACCGGCTGCTGTCAAGGTTGTACAGTGCCATTTTTACCGTGCCGGGAACAAGTACAAAAGACCGGCCCAAGACTTGCGGTACTTTGTCTCTCTGCCGCCCGGTCGTGTCTCGACTGCGGCCGAAGCGTTTCGTGCCGACTCCCCTTCACACTCCTCTCATCAGTCCCCTCCATCATGCGCGAAGACGGCCGCTATAGTCCGATGCCTAACATCGTCGATACTCGGCCCGGCGCTGTTTCTGATATACCTGCTAATCTTCTTCTTTTCCATCCCGAGGGCCAGTGCGGACAAGTAGTCGCAATGTGCTACTGCGTGAATGAAATGCGGATCGAGACTCCCAGGTCGAGTGAGAGGAACGCCCAGGGTCAGTGCCCTTGATTCCAGCGTTTCCAGCCACCGGCGTCGGAATGCGGTACGACTCCGTTCCATCTTCGAGGCTTGGCCCGTCTCCGGAACCGCCCAAGCGCTCGTCTCGCCCCGGCCGGCCCTGTCGGCGCTACGAGTGGCGTGATTGGCCAGCCGGTGTTACCCATCGACTCCGGAAGCTACGTCTACATCTCACCCAGGGCGAGACGCCTCACCGGGAACCGAGCCGGCACACGGCGTCATCATCGCCACCGTCCGTCACCCAGGGGCGTTGCCGTCCTTCTCCGATGGTGTCATGCGATGTCTACGGCACGAGACGCAGCCGCTTTCGGTCGGTTAGGACGCCTCGAGTCGGCTCGACTCGTTTGGCACGGTGACGGAGCAATTCAACGACGGATATCCGTCTCTCACGTTGTATTAAGTCCCGGCTGGTGTGCTCAACTTATGAGCAAGACTCCATACCGCGTGGCGCATTTGCCTTTCCCTCCCCCTTTGCGTTTGTGCCAAGCCAAATCCTCTGAAAAGCCCTGCTGAGAATGACTGCAATCATATACATTATATATCATCCCATGACGAAGGGAGCCGCCTCGCCCGCCATGGATATCCACATGTACTCTTCGGCCCTGGTACGGGCCTGGAAATTACTGTCTGAAGTCAACCAGACAGGCAGATGGTATCAATCTGCTTGTCCGGGGAAGGCAGACCACTTGGTCCAATAAGAATGAGAACAATCTTGAAGCGAGACCCTTGAGGCTCGTAGTGCGTCGCTTATTGGTCAAATTCTCCGGCGAAGAGCATCTCGTCGGAGCGGCCATTCATGACGTTCCAGACGGACCGGGCCTCCTCGTGGATGCTCCGCTTGGCCGGCTTGCCGGCTTGGGCAAAGGCCGCGAGCTCCTTCTCCGCCGTCTCTCGTTCGAGTTGCACTGCCTCGCGAGTCAGTTATTCGCCTGTTCCATACTTTTTTGCTCGTTCTGCTCTTCTTTACACTCTTTCAAATAGTCGCCAAGGGCTTGCCGCCATCAAAAACGGGCAATGGGGATAATTAGGCCGGAGGAAAAAAAAAGCGGCTCGTCAGGACCAGTGGGCGAGCGAGACAAGAGAGATGCTGCCAATCTTACCGTGCACAAATACTGCCGTCCGCTTGCCGGAGAAGAGGGCATGGGGCACATTGGTGCTGTTATCCGAGTTGGCGTCGCCGACGGCATAGACGCCGGGGATGTTGGTCACCAGGCCCTTGGATCCGTCGGCCGTCAGACGCCCGCCCAGCAGCTTGACGCCCATGGCCTCACCGACCTTGGACGCCTGTTCGTTCTTGAAGCTGGTCAGGAAGGCGTCTCTAGCGACGGGCTCGCCGCTGGCAAAAGTGACGAGGAACTTGTCGTGCTCGGCGACGGTCGGCAGGCTGGGGTCTTCGCTGCCGTTGGTGCCATTGGCTGTTCGCTCGACTGAGGCGATGGTGCGGTTTTCCACCCGCACGTTATGGATCTTGAGGTAGTCGCGCCACTGGGGGCTCGCCTTGTCGGTGGCAACCTGTGCCTGGGGCGTGTCGGTACCGTTGACAAAGGCGACAATATCCCTGTTGAGCGACAGGATCTCACGCACCAGGCCGGGAATGGACTCGAGCGGGGCGATGAGTCCCAGCCTCTGGTCCTCGTGCTCGTGGCCGTCGCACCAAGGGCACCAGTAGATGCCGCTGCCCCAGTTCTCCCGGATGCCTGGCGTCTTGGGCAGCAGGTCGCGAAGCCCCGTGGCCAAGATGATCTTGCGGGCTGTCTTGGTCATCGACTCGGCGCCCTTGTTGACGGCGTAGGTGACGCGGAAGTAGGTGTTGTTCTGCATCGGCTCAATCTTGGTCACGGTCCCGTTCCTCATCGAGACGGTCTTATAGTGAGAGATTTGCTGGCGACCAGCCCACCGATAGTACGCAGGGGTCACGCCTGGAGGGCCCATGATGAGCAAGAGCCCAGTTTCGGTTGAGGAGAGGCAAGGTGCAGAGGTATGACAAGTGCTTACCGTCAAAGCCCAAGACATCGTGCATGTGCCGGGTTGGGCCGTTGCGATACTCGCCAGAGTCGATCAAGAGGACGTTTCTCCGGACCCGGGCCAGGCCGCTGAGGGCACTCAACCCGGACGGGCCTCCGCCGACAATGACGACATCGTGGTCGATGTGAGGCTCGCCCGAAGTTGCTGGGGCCGCGGTTGCGAGCAAGGGCAGGCTCGACAGCACCAGCGCTGCAGCAGCTTGGAACCACATGGTGACCCTGTCTGGTTGAGGCTGAGAGAGGGGAGGAGGGAGGGGAGGTAGAGATATAAGTGAATGGAGGGAGGGTTAAGGGACCGAGGTTGAGGCAAGAGACACCAGACAACTGACGAGGGCGGAACTGGACAACAGCTACCAACTCGATACAACTCGCGCCTGGGATTGCAAGGACAAACGAACTACGAGACCAGGAGAGATCGAGCGCCACGTCTGGAATCGATTGGGGCCCAACGAGGGGTTCTTATGTATATGTCGACACCCACGGCCGCGGCGGTGAAGCCGCAAGCAAAGCCTGCAGGGCCAAGAGCCCAAGGCCCAAGCGGCTGAGAGACAACCTGATGATGGGAGCTGTCTCGGTCCGGTTGGGCTGTTTGGGAGGGGAAGAGACGCGGGGGACCAGGCCCCATGGCTCCTCCGTGGCTCTCCCCGCGCCCGCATCGAGGCAAGCGACCATGTCGTCTAGTCGGATTCGACAGGGATCGGCCATGGCACGGCAGGAGATTGGGAGGCGTCACTGGTCAATGCCCTTTCTCATGCCGGCTCTCGCGAAGTTGCCGGGGGGGTGTCGAGGGGTGTCGGAATGCGCCCAATGAGGAGAAAGACGGAGATTAAAAAACGGAAATATTTGGTAAGAAGCGAAGAGATGTTCAACGCAGTGTAAACACGGGATGGGTGCGGGTGCGGGACGGGCTGGCGCGGCGGCACCTCCCACAAACAGACGGCGATGTACGGATACGGATAGGCATGTAGAGAGAGACAAGAGGTCCAACGAGATCGGCCTATTTCTTTCCTTTTTCTCAGCGGTTCGCGGGGCGATGGTTTGGTGGTTCCCGAGTCCCCTCCACATCCTGCCTGCCCGCCGGCCCCTCTCATACACGAGGACTTGTCCCCCTATGAATTCCGCCACCAGAATGATTATCTCGTGTTGCACGCCCACGTCCTCACACAACAGTCTCCCCCAAGATCTACGGTTCGTGGTTATATGCAAGTCGACAACGAATGAAGGTTCAGTCAGCCTCGGGGCCGGCAACCGTCTTCCGTCCCACCTCTCTCTCCGGGGCTGCCGAGCGTTGCCGAGCGCATCCCCTTTTGCGGGCCGGCCCCGCAGGACTCCACACTGCCGTAATACTTACTCCATCTCCGTACTACGCAGCTTATTCTCGTTGTCCTGCTTCGGCGAGAATGGCCTGACGGGGTTCGGTGGGGGTTTTTTTATCCGTAGAAGCGGCCACACGGATGGGCAGCGTCGTGTTCCCCATGTGGGAGGCGCAAAGGCGGAGGGCTCCGTCACGGCGGTTACAGACGCTTGTTTTCCTTTGACCGACATGGAGACCGCGAGGGTTCGCGAGCATGACTGCTTTTCGAGCTTGTGACTCTGCGGATACGACATGGCCCGCTCTGTACGACGTACTGTATGAGACGGTGCCTTGCGCGCTCTTCACGATAAACGGCCAAGTCAAAGAGTCCCGGTCCCATATGTAAACCGTCCGGTCCACTCGCTCAACAAACGGCCCGACACTCTCGTTATCACTGGGGCCGTCTCTCAACGCGTGTCTTAGACGCCAAAAGAGAAAACAAAACAAACGTCGCAGAAGCAAAACCACAGCGGTCTCGAAGCAGTCAACAAAAGCTGTGTGTGCCGGTCCTGACCAAGACAGACATTGTGCATTACCAGGACACCCATGTAAGCTCTCCCCCACCGCTGCGCTGCCACCAAACGGCTACGAGCAAGCTTCCAAAGCGCAGCGGGCGTTGTGCCTCGAGGAGCAGGAATGGAACCATGTGGCGAGTTGTCGTCCACCAGTCCACGGAATTTCGTCAGCCCTTTCGGATAATCTTGGAGGAATGACATGATTTTTTATCTTATTTTAAACAAACAAGAGGCAGATGAGAACGGCCAGGAATTCTCCACCGCACAGTGCGGCGGCTGCATCCGGCAGAGGCTCGTCGCCGCGGCCGAACAGGCCCGCAATAGATGGCACAGCCCGGCCGACAGATGCAATGCTCCATCTTTCTCTGACATGGCTGACCGAAGCCAAGACGCTGGGTTCCGGCGATCCGTCAGCCTGGGACGGATCCTTCTGGAGGCTCTAACCGCTGCCTTGTGTTCTGTCCAATGTACACACAGGATATTGCCCTTGGGTCTTTTCCGGCCCCGTGAAATCTATTGTCCTGATGGATCGACCTCGACCTGTTCTATGAGCTCGGGAAGCGCAGGCCACTTTGTGCTCCGTAGACGCCGCCCGGCCTCCGACTTGGCGTGGCAAGTCCATGCACACGACGGTTTGCAATCATCCCTTCTCCCCTCTTGACTGCCGCGAGCCGATCCCGGTTTCGGCGGCGGCGACTACGGAGCAGGAATAGTGATGCCGTACCTGGCAAGCGGAAACGACTCGAGGCTGGCCATGTACTCTGCCCACCCGTCTCCGAGCTCGCCGACCTGGTGCAGATCGACGTCTCCAGCCTCACCGGTACGCCCGGCCAGGACCTCGGCCTCGCGGCCCGCGTACTCGACCTTGAGCTTCGGGTGGGGGCACCAGACGACGCGCATGCCCGCGCGCCGCCCGGCCTCGACGCCCGGCACCGAGTCCTCAAAGACAAGGCACTCGTCGGGCGCAATGGGCTCCTCGCCCGCCGGCAGGGAGTCATTGATGGTCTTGAGGGCCAGGACGAAGATGTCGGGCAGGGGCTTCCCGCGGCCCGGCTGCAGACGCGGGTCGTCGCCGAGGACGCGCCGGTCCGCGGGAAAGTGCGCAAACAGGTCGTCGAGGTGGGCCGTCTTGATGGCAAAGTTGCCCGAGTGCGAGCTGGTGGCCAGGGCTACGTGCACGCGCCCGGCCCTGGCGAGGCTCGCGAGCAGCTCGACGACGCCCGGCAGCGGCTGGGCGGTGGGGAAGTGCTCCCGCTGGTGGGCGGTGAGCTCCTTGAGGTACTCGTCGTGCTGGATGGGCAGCTGTGCCCAGTCCTGGAAGATCCTGTTGGCCTCGTGGCCCGGGCGGCCCTGCAGCTTGGCCTTGATGGACCACGGCAGCTCTGGCTTGCCGTAGTTTTGGAGGACGAGGTTGACGCATTTCGTATAGAGGTCCTCCGTGTCCAGCAGCAAGCCGTCCATGTCAAAGAGACAGGCCCGGACGGGGGGGAACCTGTAGGTGGTAGTCAGAAAAAGGGTGCCCCGGGGGGGTTGGCTCCCTCAGGTGCCAATGCACGGCTTGTGGCGGAATCGTTGGGAACGCACTCGGTCCGGGGCGCCATGTCTGCTGAGCTGCCCTGCGTGCGCTTCTTTGATCGCAGTCGGTTTTGACTCCAACGGCCGATTGCGGCGAGTCGGCGAGAAGGTGGATGTCTCTTTTTTTTTGGCAGCTGCTTGTGTGTAAGGCTTGTCTGCAAGGCTTGTCGAAGCTTTCGAGATAAACTTGCAAAGGGTCTCACCCGGATTGCTCTGAGGGATGCCGGCAACGATGTCGGTCCAGATGGCAAGGGATGAGTTGAATCTTTTTCTCGACTCCGTCGGTGTGACTGATGCGATGCGGTGGGGGAGGGGCAGGACCAAGAACTCGCCGGCCGTCGGCGCTCACAACCCCCCTGCCCCCACAAATCACCGGCCCACTGCTGGCCTTCGCTCTTTTCTGCCCGGAAAACTCTCCTCCCGTCCGCTGCCATCGCCCTGCCGAGGGTGATTGCGTTGCGCGTCTCAACGGGCCATGATGGGGGCGCTGGGCCGAGAGAGCAAAGATGCGCAGAAAGAGTCGCTGGACGCCCACCCAGAGGACGCAGCAGACGCCCGCCAAGAGGACGCAGACGAGCCCGAGTCCCTGAGATTCTCCCCGGAAGAGGAGGCGGTCAGTCTTACGTCTCTTACCCATTCCTTCTCGCCGCCTCTAGGGGGCACCGGCAATCTGTTCACAATGGACACTCTCAAGCTCCCCCCACATTGGAGGGGAATACGCGCTGACAGCTTCACGTCCCTCTACAGACGCTCCTCCAAGAGTCTCACTCCATCAAGGCAGAGGCCAACGCCCTCTTCTCATCACACGACTACCACAACGCCCTCTCCCGATACGACGACGCCGTTGCTTCGTGCCCCAAATATCTCCGGTACGAGCGCGCCGTCTTGCAGAGCAACATTGCCGCAACCCACCTCAAGCTTGAGCAGTGGAACGAGGCCATCAAGGCGGCCACCGATGCGCTCGATGGACTGGTCGAGCTCGAGGAGCCAGGCGCCGCGCCCTTGAGTCCCGCGGACAAGCTGGAGACCTCCGAAAGCAGCCAGGCCGATGGGCGGAACACGAGCCGTCGCCAAGAACCGCCCAAGAGCGATCCTCGCGCACCCGACACCGACGTCGAGGACGAAATCGTCAGCGAAGGCGCCCTGAAATCAGCCCCCGCACCCCCTCCCGAGCCAACGTCACAGTCCCCCGCCGAAACCCGCAAGGCAGACATCCTGCGGATCCGCACCAAGGCCCTGCTTCGCCGCGCCCGCGCCCGCTCCGAGGCCGGCGGCTGGCAGAACCTCGCCGGCGCCGAGGAGGACTACCGCACACTGGCCGGCATGCCGGGCCTGGGCGCCGCTGACCTGCGCACCGTGCGCGCGCAGCTCAGCGCTCTGCCGCCGCGCACCAAGGCCGCCCAGGACGCCGAGACGGCCGAGATGTGGGGCAAGCTGCGGCAGCTGGGCGACGGGATTCTCAAGCCCTTTGGCCTCAGCACACAAAACTTTCAGATGGTGCAGGACGAGAAGACGGGCGGGTACAGCGTCAACTTTTCCCAGGGTGGGGGGTCCTCTTCGTCATGACGCCGGTGCGCAATCAAATGGTCTTGCAGAAGACGGACTGTCCTGTTTCCCGCCGTTGGACTTTCAGCAATACGTGGCGACTGGCATGGTGCATTTACCGGAAGGCCTTTGTGACGAGAGACACGGAGAAGCCGAATTGTGCGTCCCAGCTTCGGCCGGGTTCAGGGGTTCCGCCAAAGATATCACGAGCGATGGAGCTGGCCATGCCCCAAACGAAGTGGCGGTGCCTTATCCTATGGACTGCAGTCCCTGTGAACACGACCCACGCCGTCTACATGTTGCGCCTTGGACTCTTCTTTCGGCGGGCATCGGTAGGGTTCGTCGGTGTGAAGAGACACCAAGCCAGGCAGCTTGGCGTCGAGGCGCCGCTCAGCCGAGCTTGGGCAAGGGAGATGCTGGATCCGGCCTGTGCAGGCGGATACCAGCAACAGGATGCACCGTCCTTTGACTTTCGTTCAGGCTGTCATCTTCCAGAGAGGTTCGCGCTGCTGAACAGATTCAAGAGCAGACGGAGAGCATAGAGAGGGGATAACGACGCCAGGCAAAGTGGCAATTGTAGTCGAGATTATTCGTCAACTCTTCTACACCTCTGCAGAGACTCGGATATAATGGATGTTCAAGATGTCATACCTGCATTGCGAGCGCGGCGTCGCGACTTTGAGGCGGAGTCGAAGTTGAACGCCGTGGTGCTTGTGTTATCAGACATGAACAATGGAGATCACACGGTTGGTCACGGAAATTGTCATGAGCAGAACCCGGGGGTCTCTATGCAGAGCAATATTGTTAGCAGCTTCTTCTATACATATTTGTCTTTGAAGCCTCTTTTTAACTCATCCATTTCATCTTTATACGACTACCCTTAGGAAATTAGGATATCCGACGCTGGCAAGGGCCGGGCCGACGCGTTCGCATAAAGTTCAAGGCGTTTCTCGTATTGAAGCCCGTTAAACCCGACAGTTTGGCCTCGGGAGACGGCAGAGTGAGCAGGCAATAAAGAGGCGGACAGACGCGAAGCAGGCAGGTCGATAGCATCATGGAGCCGTTCGTCTAGTTGGCAAATACCTACCCGTTTGTGATATGCAAATAGGTTCGCGTGCGTGGCCAATGCAGCAGCTACATATACCCTCGCGCATCACGTACGCCTGGCTTCCTTCCTGCGGCCGAGGAAGCATAAGAGGGGCCCCCGAACCTCGAAACCGCGACGACTCTTCCCCTAACGGCGAGGGCAAGGGCAATCGCCCTCCCGGCTTGATTGCCTTGCAGGTTACCGCCTTAGATGAATCTCATCAAGCAGAGGTTAAATTTTCTGTCGACTGTCCGCAAGACGAATCGGTCGAGTTGCATTTGAGTGTCCCTACTCGCCAGTCTAATATGATTAGGTTATATAAGGCTTTCCAGATATTCCCTGGCCTTGGTACAACATGGGCGGAGTAGGACACGAGGACGCCATGGCCCCTTATTCGAAAGTCTAGACGCAAGACGTTGAGCTCTGAAGCGACAATGGCAAAGCTCTAGGCCAAGGTCTAAATCGCGGCCGGCTCACAGATTAGGGGCGAGCGAGCCATCCGAAACCGACTGCTGATAGGCTGTGTGACGCGTTCACGACTGGCGAGGCCGAAACTTCATTCGCACCCCAGACTATTAAGTCGTGACGGCTGAAGTCTCCCGCCAGCACCACATCTATTCCCCTGCCTGCCCTGACACGGAAATTCCGGATTAGGTCGTGCAGCATTTCCACTGCTGCCGTCAATGCCTCAACGCTCTTTCCTTCCACGTACACCGACACCACTATCACGTCCTTCTCCGGCAGTCGAAGCACCGCTGCCGTGAGATCGGCCGATGGGACCGGCACCTGTTCCGCCTCAATATCGTTCCGGATCCAAAAAATGCCACGATTTGGCCATGGCGCATTGTGCGTGCTCGTTGGTATCATCTTCGTCCAATTAGCCCCATGGGGCTCGTCACCACTCTGTCCTCAACCCGCGGCTCAGAGACTGCTAACATGGCAAGTCGTTGAGCGCTAAGCTTTGTCGCACTGGTTCCTGCTTGTTCATATTTGGCTGTAAAATTCGAAGGGCTCAAACATCACTGCTTGGGTATTTATTTGGCGAGAGCAGCTATATCGCTATTGACCTGTTGAGCGAGGGACTTGTTTGCCGCTCATCCGACACAGAAGCCCTACCGAATTCCCCTTCCTGCCTACTTTGGTCCAGGAGAAGGTACGAATGTGTGGATATCACCAGATGCCTCTACTTTTGGGTTCCCGCACAAGGACAACAACGGTGCTTGCAATACGCAGCTATTCGTGGCGTCTATAAACACAGATGCACGTTTGAGTAGTTTAAGCTGGCCGAATATGTCCAAGATGCCGGCTTGGACTCTCCTTAAGATTTAAGTTTGCAGGCAGCGCCAAGTCCATGATTATCCAGGACAGGGGCCGCCTCCTCAGGCGCAGGACTCGCGGCAATAACGAGGCCGCGCTGTCCCAGCTCACCTACAGCTTAGAAAAGGGAAAAGACCCGAGACTTTCTCACAAGTGGTGCAAGTTCAGCCTTCTATCCTCACGATGAAGGGGCTACGAGAACTTGGAGATGTGGTAGATCTATGTGAAGTCGACAGTCCATGTTACGATTTAGCGCTTGACAGCATGCCTGATGCGAAGAAAGGCCAGGGCGGTTTCGACGAAGACGAAGTTGACGAATATCATGGAACCAACTACATCTTCCGAGACAATATAAGCACAAGCTCGGCGGGAACAGACTGAAGATCTTTTTCGCGCAATCGTCGTTGCCTCTTTTGTTCCTCTTTGAATAGTAACCTGTATCGGATATCCTGCGGGAGGGACTGCACGGAAATGAGCCTCATTAGGGACACAGGCAATGCTTCTCTTGCAGCGTCTCTCTGGGCCTTGACCCAAAACAGATTGTTGTCCAATTTGTGAAAAAAGTACGTCTGCTCGTGGCACAATGTCCAAGGCTCAGCGCTGGTCGGGCAAAGCACGGCGGTTTCGAGGAGGCATATCCGATCCTGCCAAGTCGGATTGGGGCCGCGGCATACAATAGCCCCTGCTTCAAGGCACACGTTGGACATGTACGCGAAGGTCGCACAGTCGTCCGAGTCGGCCAGCATCGGCGTCCACTTGTTGTGTTCGTCCAGCGACATCCGGAAACACCGGTTGACAACGCCGTCCTGGGGCCATGCAACCACAAAGTGGCCGCCCTCTGGACTGAGGCCTGTGTCCTGAAGAGTCCCCAACACCAGCCGGATGAGACCAAGTACGAATCGGTAATGATCCTCAGACAGGCTACAAAGCCAGTCAGAGAGAGGCTGCTGTCTATCATGGAATATTCCAAGGATCCGGTTTTCAGACTCCAACTCTGCCCACCAAGCCTTCATCTGCTTGCTCGTCAGAGACTTTGCAAATGCTGGGAGCAGGTCTGCCACTAGTTGTCTCAGTAAAACACGTTGGGCCACTCCAGTGCAGAAGCTGACCCTGACGCCCCAGTAGAAGTCCAGAAATGGCACCAGCATGAAATCGTCGCGTTCGAGATTCCTAGCTTTGACTGTTTTGCCCCGCCGCTTTGCCCATACCTTGTTGGTGGTGATGGCTAAGTGGTCAGGACCACCTTGAAGGCCGAGCTGGTATTCGATCGGTTCTGAATACGAGCTGTATGTCCCGAGTTCTTCAAACCTCCTTGATGATGCCTTCCAACATGTTCCCTCGTCGTTTCCGCAGAGGGTGTTGACGGTGACCAGGCCTCCGATGAGGATTTCTTGCTTCATGTCTATGGATGAAGACGCCGCGGGCATCTTAATCGAACGGTCCCAGTGATACTTGTCGGTCCCATCACCATGCGATGGAGGACTTATATATCCTCCGCCAACCTTGATGGCAAGCGGCGAATCTATATCACCCGGCCAAGACACGAGCTCGCCCGGACCCCATGTATCCAAAACGTCCTCGGGAAGCGCGCGAACGTCGTATCTCCTAGTCCATTCTCCAGAAGTGCCTTTTGGTGACGTCGGACCATCAAAGGCAAGTACTGGGCCTTGGCACATACCGGCAAGGCAAGTCAGTTGGACAAGTCTGGCTGTAATGTACACATCAGGGTTAGATGAGATGTCTGTGCCAAGGAGAACGATCCGTTGGAGTGGCGTATCTAGAAAGAAGGGTTGTAACGCTCCAATATGAGCTTGCGCATAGGAAAGAAAGCCTACGCAGAGAAACTGAAGAGCCAAAGAAGACATGTGAAAAACGTCTGCGCCATTGATGTTGTGTTCGTAGCTATCACCAACGGCCTGGCTTATGATTTCCTGGGACTGTGTTCGCAGCAAGCTGATGGTGTGCTGTCGCCCCGGGTCGTCGGCACGGCGGTGATCTAAGTCCCGCAGATAGTTGATGATGCGCCCTCCAAGCGAAAAGTCGAGACGCGTCAGTCGCAGCTGATGACCAGTGGCATCTGATGGTGTTTTGCAGATGCCTAACACAGTGAAGGAGTTACAGCAAAGCCCAGCGTCCTGGATTGCGCGAACGGCGGTATTGAATCTCAAGCCGACTTGAATCAGCTGAGATAGAGTGTCGGAAGTGGTGGGCCGGGTGATTGATGTTGGTGCTCGATAGCGGAGTAATGCAACTGAATTCTGCTCTTGGAACTCAGTCGTTCGATTCCAAGACGCCGCGTCTCGCGACGATGGACAAACGCCTCCCAGCCCACACAGCTCTTCGATTATTCGTATCAGTTCCCGGTCCTGATCTGACCTCGGTGGTGGCCAAGAAACACGATCTCTACCGGGTAAGGTTCCCGAGATGCGATGCGCGCAGCCATCCAAGTGGTGGCCGGGCATGACTTCGGCCGACGGAATATCTTTTGGTTCAAAGTAGATCCATGGGGAGTCGTGAGTCCTCTCGTAGAGCAGCTGGGCAATCTCAGCGTGAGTGTATCCAACATCTCTAAGCTCGGCCATCCAGGCATAATCTCCGCGTGCAATCTGAGTGAAGCGCTGTTCCAAAAAGGTGGCGAGCACATCGACATTCTCGTGCGCCAGTACTTCTCGTATGCTGCTCGATGGACTCAAGGTGCTATTGCTGATTGATGTTAGACTCTTGATGTTGCTGCTTGTCCCGCTGTCAGCGCTGACAGGCACGCTATTTGCCTCCTTCCTCTCCGTTGCATGGAGTGGTTCGCTTGTATCTTGACCGCGTACTCGGTCAAACGAAGATCTGGTCATGGGCCGATCCGATGTCAGTCGGTTGGGTAACATGCTTGAGACGGCCTCGCTCAACTTATCACGCAGCGAGCCAAGCGGGCTTGGCTCGTTGCGCTTCTTGGTCTCGTCTGACCGTATGTCTGAATCATGCGAGTGAGATAAAGTTGATACGTTCTGGGTGGCCGACGGTGGTAAAGGTGCAGCAGGAGGCATAAATCGGCGTAAGGTCCGCGGACGCCGCCGCCGCCTTATTCGTTCTTTGGCGGCGTCATCGCGGTGCGGAGACCGTCCTGGCCGGCTAGGCTCGGGCTGCTGGTGGCTGCCAGTGGCATTCGCGGCACAAGACTTATGCCAACGGTCGACGTCTATGTCGGCCTCGGTAGGGAACATACAGGCTGGCAAGTCAGGTGGAAAGGCCTCGCCTGTCTCGGGGTGCCTTAAGTCCCAGTTTTTAACTGCATACTGCATAAACGGGACATGCTCCTCAGGACCTAGTAAGATCTCAAGCGACTCCCAGCGCGAGAAACCTCGCATAGTTAGGGCGGGGATTATAGGCGGAGCGAAGTCATCGTGGGTAGGTTGAAGCGTGTGCTGGCAGCCAGTGGCCTGCCAGATCAAGGAGAGGGAGGCGTAAGGCGTATCGACGAAGAGGGCTGTATCCGGTTAGACGGAGAGGGAGGGTCAGTATGACAGGGCATAACATACTGTCATAGTCACCGCCGACGGCCTGGTAGAATGCGGCCAGCTTGGTGGGCGTCAGGTAGGAGTCGGTCTTGTCGCCAAGCTCGAGGATCTGGAGGGACAAGGCGAAAGCGTTCATCATTAGCCCATGTGCTCTTAACCGGGACTTGACAGGTTGACAGGAGGGTGTTCCCCGCCTACAGTGTGGCGGGCGATGGCCCTCAAGAGGGCGTCGAGCTGCTTTGTCGGGCCCTTGTTCTTCTCAAACATGTAGGCATATTGAACGGCGGAACCAGGCGCCGAATCCAGGCCGGGTGCCGACATGTTGGGGGTGCGCAGTCAGAAGCTGGGCGCTTTGGCTTCGCGAGTCGTCGAATGCGGCGCAAGGCGTAGGTAGCAGCTAGGTGATATAGGGCGAGAAGGACGACAGAGCATTGGCCACGGCTTCCGTGCATGGAAGCGCGTCTGCGGCGAACCTAGGAGAGCGAAGAAGCAGGGAAACTAGGGTCGAGGACCAACGGAATGGAACTGGGTCGACGAAGCGGACGAGAGCTGGCGGGGTCGCTAAGAGATGGGTCGGTCTAGATGCGTGCCATGGCGGAGGCGTTGCTGCCGGGCCTGAGTGTCGGTGAGTCGGGTACGGTTCTTGAGAGTGCAAGCAAGAGGAACGGGAACGGGAGACGAGGATGAGGAGAAGTGAGGTAGTGTGGGTGTCAAAGGCCCGTGAATTTGGCTGACCGATATTTCTTGTCATCACTAATACTCAGGCTTCTACGGGAGCTGCTGCAGTGCAGGTAGAGTGAAAGCACAGCCTATCCCGCCAATATCGTGGGCCAAGAATTCGTAATAAGCATAACATTAGATGGACACACCAAAATACACATTGTCTTTTACCGGACTTTGTTGTACTGTATCGTCGCTTGAACAAAAAGAAAGAAGACTTGCTCGTGAAAACTCTAGAGGGCAACAGCTTAACGTCATGGGTGGCAACTCTTCAACCGCAGCTGAAAAGTAATAAAAATGTAGGTTATAGGTTTCTAGCTAAGTAAGATAAGCTATAGTCTTCTTATAGCTATAAATATATACCGATTTTTTCCTGCTTCTTATTAAATTATTAATATAAGTTTAATAAGAATAACTATTATTATAATAGTATAAGTTTTAATATTAATTAAGAAATAATATAATATATTTAATTAAAATATATCTAATTTTTTGTGAGAGCGCTACTAGGAGGTACGGGCTGACAAAGCACTCGGGTACGTAGTACCAATGTGTTGGCAGGGTATCGGCAGGGAATCGTGCCTACCCCGCTCGCATGTCATAGACCACTCGCCACTCCGACCGAAGAGGGAAAATCTCTCTTCTCGCAAGCTTCAGTCTTGCGACGAGGAGAACACAATACACACAGCGCAGTACCTCCAGCTATCTCTACTACCTGACTGATCGTACCGTGATACGTGTTCCCTTACATTTTTCTTCTTATAATAATAATAAATATAAGTTTATATAAGTTAATAAGTAATATAAAATATATTAAGAGTTTAATAACTTCTTAATAAGAGTCTAATACTAAGTTTTTATAAAGGTCTCTTAATAAATAAATAAATAAGTACTTAAGCTACTTTTTTAAGTATAATAAATATCTAGCTATAATAAAATATTATATAAAAAAGTATTATTATAACCTAGGTTTATTATATTTCTAGTAGGGAGAATAGTATTTTAGACTATTATTAAATAAATAGTACTTTAATCCTGATTTTAAATTTTTAAAACTACTGATTTGCTGCTTTAGCAAATTTCAGGTTTTCGTTTCCTACTACTCCGGTATCCACATCACCAATCCCATTAACCTGGCCACTAGCACCGGGAAGCATGATGTTCCGGAAATTGTTCGCCATGAGCTGCACACCGCTGACGAAACCCTGCTCGTCAAATGCACAATGTCCGCCATTCGGAGAGTTATTTACCGTCTGGAGTGCATTTATCTGCCGGTTACCCAGCCCAGCACCCGCACCGGCCTTTTCGTATGCTTTGACGGACTGAGGAAGGGATTTTTGAATATCGGGCAGCTCATTGGTAGTTGATTGGAAGTGAATTCGAGTATTCGCCATGGCTTTCTGAGCTCCGGCCGTGAAGTCTACCTGAGGAGCCAAAGCACCGCAGTTGAGCAGGACTCCTGTGTTGGGGAATTTGCCCATCTGCTCCGGGATGAAGAAGCCAGAGAGGGTGAGAGAGCCACCGCTAACGCCAGTGAAGAAGACCTGTGACTGATTGAAAGCGACGACGTTGGGGAGCTCTTTCGTAACAAGATCGGCAACGGCTTGTGAGTGAGCGCTGCCTTCTGTCCGGTCCAGACCTTTGCCACCGCCCCAGAAAAGGTTTGGGTCGGGAGCGAGGACTGCGACGCCCATGAGGTTGGCATTGACGCCTTCGTTGGGAAAGTCGAAGAATGACTGGCCCCCGTCGCCGTGGAGCAATACGTTCATGCCGATGTCGCCAGCAGTGCCGGGAGCGGCGGTGCCGCCCTTCACGCCCGAAGCTGCAGTGAATTGGTTGGCGGGAGCACTAACTTTATATCGGATTGAAAGGCCACTGATTGGCACAGGTTAGCTCAATTGCCACCATACTATAGAGCTGAGAGACAATGGCAATCTTACTTGATCTGGGCGGTTTGGTCAAGTGTGATGGAGCCATCTCGAGCGGTGGAAGTACCACCTTTAACTTTCGCCGCCTTCTCTTGTGCGGTTTCTTGTTCACCACCGCCATTTCCACCATTGTTCTGCTGGGGCGCGGCTTCACCGATGGATATGCAGAGGATTGCGAGCACACATAGTACTGACAGAACGGTACTTTTGAACATATTGTCAAATCTGAGAGAATATGCAAAAGAAATGGCAAGAACAAATAATTATACGCCCAAGAACAATACACTGAGAGAAAAAAACTGCGGACCGGCCGATGGAGGAGAGAAAGAGAGAGGAGAGAGACCAGACTGGGGAAGTAGTCGCATTTTGAGGTACGATGGAAACCACGGGCGAGTTTCAAAGTCGCAGCAGTGCTCCCGTATCGTGAAATTCTTGGCGGTGTTGCAAGTTTCGGATTGGGGTGATGGCGCACGGGGCGTTTTGCACTGGGCGACAGGGCCTTGTCTGAGTCGTGGAAATGTGGAATAATAACTGTCGTCCATCAGCGAGACTTCCAAGAATAGCAGCCTGGAAGGCCAATTGATTGATAAAAATCGTGCCAAGAGCAAAGGAAAATAGGAACACTGCAGGCGTTCGTGCAGCGTTTATGTGGTTGTCGTGGTAGCAGAAGTCGTCTGTCAAGTACAGCTCTTCGCCCCGTCGCACGACAAGTTCCATGGTTCCAGCTGCTTCATGTTCATGACAGAGGACCTCCGCCTTTGACAGGAGCCCACCACGAGCCGACCTGCCGCCGCACCATGACCCGTGTCCCGTCCCCGTGCGACCGCGCGCTCCATAACCTTAAACCCACTGCTCCACCGACCTCTTTGCTGCATCCCAAGTGGCTCTGCTCTCCGTGGTGCCATGTTCGCTTCGTGCGTTCCGTGTTGGCCATCCGGCTGCCTCTTATCATCGTCGATGAGACTGGGAGACTGGCAATCCCTCTGTGAGTACGATAGCCATGAAGATTGCTGCTCCTGATCTTCTTATGCCGCTCTTTCTTAAGCCTTTCTCCTGTTACTCGTAACAAAATATCCTATCTCTCGCCCAATGAGCGCTGGCACGATTATCTTCGGCTCTGCTCCGATTAATATACGCTGTAACGGGCAAGCCGCTTTAACGGCGGCTGCGCCGCCTAGCTTCTAGAACCTTCCATTGGCTCGAAGCTATAAAATGCCGTTATGCTCTTATGTAGTAGATTCTCTTTCTTTCTTTCTTTCTTTTCTATCTTGATAGTAAACAGCATAGGGACTAGTTAGTTGTATCAACTCACTAGAGGCCTTTCACATACTATCAAGATCACCGAAGACACTGAAGACACTGAAGACACCAAAGTAACCGAGTCCCATCGGAGCCATTAGCATTCAGCGAAGTCGCGATGGCCGAAGATAACAACAACATGCAGCCGGACGTCCTCAGCGCCCTGGTTGCCGAGATACGAAGTCTGAGAGAAGAGAATTCCCGAAGAAATACCCTGTTTGAAGAACGTTTTATTGCCCTGGAACTCCAACAACACCAGCAAGCCCGTTCGTCTGAACTCCTAGAGCCAATGCCATCTGTCACCCCGGCTGTCCCCATCGAGGACACCCATGTGGGCGCCAATCACAACCCTCACCCAACCAAGCGCCCCAAATTACGAGACATCCCTAAATTCGGCGGCGACAAGGCCCAGTGGCGAAGCTGGAAACTAGAAACCGAAGGAAAGCTACGAGTCGATAAAGAAGCCCTTGGAGATGCAGAAGGCCACTTTATGTACATCTTCATGAGCCTAGAAGGCAAGGCTAAAGACAACGTGACCACATTTGTGGAGATGCAAACCGAGAAGAGAACGTTCAATGTTGCTGAACTACTCAACCGTCTCGAATTGCTGTACGGGGAGGGATCGCAAGCAGAGAGCTACACGCAATCTGCATTCGATTAAGCAAGGAGAGAATGAACCATTCACGTCCTTTTACCCCGCTTTGAGAGGAGATCGCCAATGCCAACGCCGAGTATTGGCCAGACGACAGCAAGATTTCCTACCTCCAGGAGGCACTAAACGACAAAATGAAAGCAGCCCTCATAGGCTCTGACCCCTCTGCCATCAGCAGCTATGTTGGGCTGGCGAGGAGGTGCGATTCGCTGAGCAGCCAGATGGAACTGTTGGGTCAGTGGAAAAGGCCCCGAGGCAACACAAAGAGTTCGGACAACTATGACAACTACCAGAACCATGGAGGCCAGTCTGCCCAGAAACAGTCTGCCCAGAAAACCGAAGTTAGACGAGAGGATATGATGGAATGGGAGCCAACTCTACAAGCATCCGCGAAAGTGAACACTGCGCGCACCCGCAGTGATAAGAACACATATGGCTACCAATCCAAGCGACCAGAAGACCAAGCGCTGTTGGGCAAGCGTGCCCAGTGGGTCGACCAGGCCGAGATGGACGCCCGTTACCGTGAAGGGCGTTGCCTCCGTTGTGGAAGAGACAACTGCAGAATCGAGCGCTGTCCATTGGCTGCGCCTATCCGACCCGCAAACACGACCCGACGCACTCAGGTCAATGCCGTGACCCCTTCACGACCAGCGGTCACTAAAGCCGAGATCGCCGAAGACGATGCTTCTTCTCATAGCGATGAAGATTCAGACTAGGGACACGCGGCGGCTGTGAGAGAATGGGATGTGAGCGGAAAAGCAAAAATGGACGGAGAACCGTTCATAGCAGACGTCAGGGTGAACGGCACAGACTTTGTGCCATCTCTTGTCGACTATGGCTGCCTCTGCTACGGCGCGGTCAGCAAGCGCACATTTCACTCTCTCCAGTTGCCACATATACGCGTCCAGCCGCGCATCTTGGAGAATGCAGCGGGAGACGGCAAGGAGGTCAAAATCGACAAGATCACGTATGTGTCGATCGACCTCGATGGACATCAGCAGCATCGTGTTTTCATGTACGTCATCGACGATCTGAACTGGGATATGATCCTGGGTAAACGATGGATGGAAGACCAGGATGTTCACATCCATGCGAAGGAAGGATATCTCGAGATCGGGTCCAATGGAGTCAAGTACGAGACCGACGACGTTACCAGCCTCCTCAGCTAGACGTCTCTAATGTCATGGCCGCAACCTTTTAGCAGAAGCACGCCGTGACAAACGCAAAGGCGGCATTGGAGTTCACTCGGTCACAATGGCGGATATTGACAAGGCCTAAGACCGAAACCGAAGACTGACGTAATGGAGAAGCTGCCACCACAGTACCACAAGTGGTCTCGAGCTTTCTCTCAGCAAGTGGCCGACCAGCTGCCCCTCATCGGCCAGGTGTGGACCTGAAGATCGAAGTGCTGAAAGACGAGCATGGCCGAGAGGAGCCCTACCCTGGGGACCGCTTTACAGCATGTCCCGCGAGGAGCTATTGGTGCTACGAAAGACCCTCACAGAACTACTCGACAAGGGATTTATTAGAGTCAGCAGCTCGCCAGCCGCAGCACCAGTCCTTATGGTGAAGAAGCCCGGCGGAGGCATCCGCTTCTGCGTGGATTACAGAGGTTTGAATCACATAACGAAGAGGGACCGCTATCCCTTGCCTTTACTGAGCGAGACCTTGCGAACGATAGCCAAGGCAAGGTGGTTCACCAAGGTAGATGTTATAGCAGCGTTCCATAAGATCAGGGTCGCCCTGGCGACGAAGAAAAGACAGCCTTCAGAACGCGCTATGGATCCTTCGAATGGCTGGTAGTTCCATTCGGCCTGACAGGCGCACCAGCAGCCTTTCAGCGGTATATTAACAGCGTGCTCCAGGATTACCTCGATGATTTTGTGTCAGCGTATATCGACGATGTCCTGATCTTCTCCTCTGGAAGCCTGCAAGACCACCGCGACAAAGTCGGCAAGGTCCTCCAACGACTGATGGACGCTGGGCTGCAACTGGACATCAACAAGAGCGAATTCGAAGTCAAGGCTGTGAAATACCTTGGGTTCATCATCGAGGCGGAGTGTGGGATCCGAGTCGACCCAGAGAAGGTTGAGGCTGTGAAGGGATGGGCAACCCCGACGAATATTAAATCCGTGAGGAGTTTTATCGGATTCGCGAACTTCTACAGGGTGTTTATGCCAGACTTCTCGGTGATAGCGGAGCCGCTAACGCGGCTAACGAAGAAGGACGTGCCATTCCGTTGGGATGGATTGTGCGAAGAAGCCTTCGAGAAGCTCAAGGACCTGTTGATCACGGCCCCGATCCTTGCACACTTCCATCCAGAAAGGGAGACTATCGTGGAAGCGGACGCTTCAGGATTCGCGTCGGGAGGCGTGCTCCTGCAGAGAGATGATAAGGATGGACTGGTACGACCTGTCGCATACTTCTCGAAGAAACATTCGGCAGCCGAAGCGAACTACGCTATCCATGACAAGGAGCTACTCGCCATTCTCAGATGTTTGGAGCAGTGGGAACCAGAGCTACGGGCAGTAGAGCACTTCAAGATCCTAACGGACCACAAGAACCTGAGATACTTCTACTCGGAAAGGAGGTTGACAGAGAGACAAGTGCGGTGGTCGGAGTTCCTGTCCAAGTTCCAATTCAAGCTCGAATGGAGGCCGGGCCGCAAGGGCGGATTGCCTGACGCGCTCTCTCGACGGGACCAGGATATGCCGGCAAACTACTCCGATGAACGACTAAAGGGACGCATTATGAGGCTATTCCAAGACGACCACCTTAGAAGGGTCCCAATATCGACATTGTCTACCAACACCGATGGTGCCCAGAAATCAACTTCGGAAAAGAGATCAGGATATTTGAAGATGAGGAGTTACAGCAGCTGTGGCACGCCGCACGCCAAGAAGACAAGCTCTATCAAGAACTCACGAAGCTGGTAGCAGATGGAGCGAAGAGTTTGCCAACAGGATTACAGAAGGAGAAGGTTGTCAGCATTTCAGAATGCTCGTTAGACAATAGGGGCCTGCTGTGCTTTAGAGAACGCGTCTGGATACCCGGTTCGGAGCCGCTACGTACGAAGATCATCCAGGAAACTCACGACTCTCATATCACCGGACATCCTGGAAGGGACCTCACGTACTCGACTCTGTCGAGACGCTTCTTCTGGCCGGGTGCCGCTAGCGATGTACGTCGGTTTGTGCGCAACTGCGAGGTTTGCGGACGAAACACCATCTGGAGGATACAAAGAAAGGACTCCTAAAGCCGCTCCCTATTCCGCAACGCATATGGAGCGAAATTACCATTGACTTTATTACTGACCTCCCACCGTCGGGGAAAGATGGCGCGACGAACTGCATGGTGGTCACGGACCGACTCACCAAAGGCGTCGAACTCGAAGGATTACACGATATTTCTTCAGAAGCGGTTGCAAGAAGACTCTTCGAACGACACTACCCTGTCCATGGCATCCCAACGGCTATTACCAGTGATCAGGGTCCCCAGTTTGTCAGTGGTATGTGGAAACACTTCTGTCAGCTGCTAGGGATCGAGCAGCGGTTGTCAACGGCGTACCATCCACAAACCGACGGTGCAACAGAACGAATGAACCAAGAGGTAGAGATTCTTCGGATATGGACAAACTATCTGCAGGAGAACTGGTTGGACTTGCTTCCAGTCGCGATGGCGACAATTAACGAGCGGAAGCAACCTCCACCGGACTGAGTCCGTTCTTCTTCATGCACGGCTACCACAATGAGCCAATCCAGTTAGTTGAGCATCGAAGCACGGAAGACACAACACAGGAAGAAGCTGCAGCGGAGGATTTTATTCAGAGACTACAGGATGCCACGGAGTTTGCGCAAGCAGCGATAGCTATGGCCCAGGAAATACAGCAAGCGCAAGCCAACAAGCACAGGACAGCCGCACCGAGATACAAGCCTGGGGATTGGGTATACCTCAACTTGAGAAATGTCAAAACATCGCGACCCTGCAAGAAGCTCGATTGGTTACATGCCAAATATCAAGTGCTCACCGAAGTCAGCCCACATGCCTATAGGTTGGATGTGCCTGGACGTATCCATCCAGTCTTTCACGTCGATCTACTCCGGCCAGTACCGGAGACCCATTGCCTTCGCAGAAAATCGATCAAGAGAGTGCCCCACCGGTGCTGGTGGACGGCCAAGAAATGTACCTCGTCGAAAGGATTCTGGATGAAAGAATGGAAGGTACGCATAAGAAGGTGCTCGTAAAATGGCATGATTACTCGCAGCCTACGTGGGAGCCCCTTCCCACTATTCGACACACTGATGCATGGAAGCAATGGAAGAAACATAAAAAGAGTGTCACCTTCTCAAGTCATCTTGACACAGATTGCCACGATCCCAAGGAAGAGGAAACGTTGGACGGGAGGGAGGTAATTGTGAGGGAACGATCATGTGACTTTCATACTTTATGAAATGTCTCACTTTGATTCATGTAAATAGCGAAAGTCAGAGTCTTCCTTAGGAACCTCCTTCTCTCTTCGTAGACAATCACTTTACCCAAGTCGCACCCGACCTTGTTCGTGCACTTGTACCGTCACATATTGTCTACCAACTACCCCTCCTCAATAGATCACCGTCCGCGACGTGACTACCCGTTGATCTTGGTGTGGGGCCACAGCAGCCCAACTAAGTGTCTTCGCCACTTAGTTGGCCCAAAAAATCCGGCACAGCCCAAAAAATCCGGCACAGCAGCCCACCTCCAAAACGTCAACCCTATGCATCTCAACCGCGTTTTCTCGCGCAACTTGACTTTATTTACGTATCTTTTTGCCGGAATACATTATGACAGATAACATGGCTACCCTGGAGGCAGCAAAGCCGTTCTGGCGTCTCGTCGCGACCCCAGAGCCGATGTTCGTCGCTCAACAACACCAAAAAGAACGCCTCTTTCCGTGCGAGATGCGGCCATCCGTTACAATGTGAAGAGCTCATCCGTACAGAGAGCCATTAATTTCATAAAAAACCCCTTTTCCCGTGCTCCAGGGCGTCCATTGGCGCTGACGGAGGACGAAGACGACGCCCTGGTTGCGTATGTACAGTGGATGGAACGCACCGGCATGCCCGCCACGAGAGCAACTTGAAGCTGTTGCAAATGCAATAAGAATGCGTCGAGATCCCAATGCCCGCCCGGTCTCGTCAAGTTGGCTTGACAATTGGCGTGGAAGTCATCCTGCGATCGCGAAGACGTATCTCAAAGCAGTTGAACGAGCCCGGAAGTCCTTTGAAGCCCACGGGGTAGAAGAAGTCGAATTTTTCTACTCAAAGCTTCGAGAAATCATCACCAGCTACCGTATTGGCAGTTCAGAGATCTGGAATGAAGACGAGGCCGGAATACGCATTGGGTGCCTGCGAGAACGCATCCAAGTTCTCATCACGCGCACCACTAGAGTCAAGAGCACCCGGCCCCGAGTTTTAGACCCAGCAAACCGAGAATCCTGCACGGTAATTGCCTCAGTTAACGCAGTGGGGACTCTCTTCCACCTGGCTTGTTTTCCAACATTACCCTACCACCAACTGGGCCGGCATCGACATCATGACAGGCGTACGGTTTGCCCAGTCGCCAACTGGCTTTTCCAACGCAGAGATACACCTTGAGTGGGCAAGGCATTTCAACTGCTGGTCTTGGGCATCGTCAGCGCAAGCAAAACAGTCAGGAAATTCGCTGGAAGAGTGGTTCGGCTGTGACGAGCATCTTCGGCGCCCCAACATGGGGATGAGTCGCGTGGAGGCGCCGCCAAACCAACGGCCTGACGACGAGAAGATCTACCGATTGCTTGTTGTGGATGGCTTTACAGGGCATACCACCCTTGACTTTGCTGAGTATTGTATCAAGTTTGATATCATCATTGCTATTTTCCTCCACATTCCACCCACCTCATGCAGCCGCTTGATGTTGGGGTATTCCAGCCACTAAAGTCAGCACATCAGAAAGCGCTTCGAAGTCGCTCGCAGAAGGCAACATATCATTTTCGCGGGTCAACTTCCTCACAGCTTTTCAGGACGTATATGAGGCTGGCTTCACGCGGCATAACATTATGGCGGCATTTGAAAAAACAGGCCTCTTTCCTGTCGACCCAGCGCCGGTGATCACCAAGATCCTCCACGAGCAGCTACGACAACAGCAGCCGATC